CGAACCACTCAGGACCGACCCTGTCCAGCTTCTTCGCGCCCGTCTCCGCCTCTCTCCGGCACTGTCAGTCCGGATCCGGCCACTGGCAGCTACTGCTCTTCGGATCTGGCATGTGTAAAAAATCTCCGATCATAGCGAAAATTCGACAAATTTAATATTTTGAGTAAAAATTAAATTTTAATGATTTTCGTTAACTTGATTAAATTTAAATTATTGTAGTTTAATTTAATTAGTTCATTAATTAGTTAACTTAAATTAGTCATTTTGCGTAAGTTAATTAATTTAGTGGGTGAAAATTAATTTAAGTAGTAATTGAATTATTGATTAATCGAAATATAGAAGTAAATACAGTATGAACTAACTTTTGAGGAGTTAAAATTACAAAGCAATTCGTGTTGATTTTATTAATTTTATTAACAATATTTAGTTAAAATTTACTCGGTATTAACCTATATATTAATTGAAAAGTCAATAAGTCAGATGTATGGAATTAAAGAAAATTTATAAAGTATGTTGGTATGGAAAATGTGGAGGAGTGGGATTTGTTTGAATTGAGTTGATTGCCCGAGGATGGGCTGTGTGGTTTGGAATTAAATTGATATAATGTTGATATTTAACCAGTGGAAATCCAATTTTTTGGGCGGATGCTGCCGAAAAGTCGTTTAGAAATAAATTGTATTTTAGAAATTACATTAACTTTATAGCGATTAAGATTAAATTCATAGAAAATTAAAAATATGAATAAGATTATGAGAGCGATAAAATAATCAAATATAAAATAAACAACGAGGAACGAATTTTATAATGTATGTTCAGGGAATTAATACCGACTAAAGTTATAAATGTTATGCAATATTATATGATCAATCGCATTTATCATTATAATTATTATTAATCATTAATTCAATGATGTTGAATTAGTATTACATAAATATTAATTACCAATAATTAGACGTTCTACTCAATGAATAAATTAGAAGAACTAAATCAATAAGATGCACTATAGATATACAGTTTTAGTTTATAAGTTAGTGAACCGACAGAGTAACGAAAACAAATAAAATGAATGTAAACTGCTTTTCCCAAGATTAGAATTCTTATGTAGAAGTTCTTATTATATAGAAAGTATAAAGTCTCGGACTGTGAATGACAAAGGCTGGGAGCGGCACAATAGGTAAAGGCCGTCCTTTAAGGACAACAAAAACAGTGAGTAGTTGGTAGATAACTAGTATCATCCGCCTGCATTCATGCTTCACGGCTTAATGTTATCTATGCATTATTTTTATTGAATTGCCATATTATGATGTCACCCATTTGTTGATATTAGAAAATTGTTTGATTTACTTGTGCTGGTGAAACACTATCTGTTTGGTGGAATTGGGGATGAACTGGGACCACCATTGGGTTTGTGAGGACGGTCTGTGGTATATGTGATATGGATCCTGAATATGATATGAAATTTGGCCGGGTAAATGGGAGATCGGCGCCCCCGTGTGCACCTACTGCTATGATTTGTGTGATATGGAAAACCACAGGTTGGTTTCTTTATTGGGCGCACCTGATAATCTAGATTGATCGCAGCCCGCAGGGTGGCTTCCTGTTGTGAGCGCCTGATGATCTAGATTTGATGGAGACGACCGGGTTACCTCCTGTTGGTAGGGAAAAGAAAAGAGAGAATGGAAAAACAATGAGAGGGCTGGTCAAGTGAAGATTAGACCGGTCGGCCAGTACTGGGGATCGGCTCCCTGGTGCACACGTGAGAGGATGAGCCATGTGGGAGGACGGCTCATCAGGGGTTCGGTGACTCCACTGACTAATTTCCACGTTTCCACGTGATGTATTATATGAGGTGATGATTACTTGTGATTGCTGTGTACTGCCATTTGTGGTGAACAAGACTGCATGATATATAATTAAACGGTAAAGAATAAAAATATTTTAGCATCTGTGTGATTGTGTGGGTGAGAGGGTTATCTAACCCTACTCATTGAGTTTGGCGCTCAACCCCTGCCTACTATCTTTTTTTCAGGTAATTAGAAAAAGAAAGAACCAGCCCTTGGTAGAAGTTGAGACACTTTATTATGTAGAAGACTGTTAAGGGGATAGAAATAACGATGTAAAATATAAGGTAGAGTTTCCGCAATTGTATTCGTTGGGTTGTAAATAAATAATAAGTCCATATTACATGATATGCATTGTATTTTGCAATGCATATTATAAATAGAGTTAATGGGCTGAATCCATAATTTAATGAATAGACCCTGAATCCATAATTATGAATAGACTGTGAGATTTAAATAAGTTAGGCTTACTACGGGCTTCGGGGGCCTTAAGCCCACCCAGGTCCTAGTGCCGGTCCGACCCACGGAAATGGGTCGTGACATATTCCCAACAACCTAATTAAACTCACAAAACAAAAACATTTTCCTAATTGTTACACTAAGATGATATTTTTTACACACAATTCCAAATTCACACACAAAAATTAAACTGTAATAAATGAAGGTCACCAAACGTTATTTTGGAAAGTAATTAGACAGGACAATTTCAGGAAAACAACAAAAGGATTTTTTGAGATTGATGTATTTTGCTTATATTACTGGATAAATCCAATTTTCTTTAAATACATTACTGTCTCTGTTCCACTTTAATAGTAATATTTAATTTTTTCATAGGAATTAAAAAATAATAATTGAAACACATTGATTTTTTTTTTAAATATGATAGAATATTTAAATTGTCTTTCTTAAAATTAAAAACTATTTATTAATTTTGAAAATAAAGGTCAATTTGATCTCTGAATTTGTTCAGGAGGATAAAAAATATCAGACTTGATCTTTTGGGCTATTTAGCCCTTAAATTTGTACAAAATGATTAAAAAGATCTTATTTCACTTTTTAAACCAATTTTACCCTTGAACTTGTTTTGCTTTATAAATTATTAATTGATCTAATTTAACATGATTGACTTTTTATCCCTTTTGTTATATATTAGGAATACTCAGATCAAACTTTTCCAATACTTATATGAATATAAATTTAAAATCCATAAAAACATCATTTCTGTAATATAATAAATTTATAAACATGTATTATAATTTTAATTTATTCAATGTGAAAAATACATAGATTTTATAAATGATAAGCTAGTAATAGAGGTTGATTTTAAAATGTTCAAATTAATACATATCTATAAACTCAAAATTATTAATCAAAGTAAAGAGAAATACAATATATTTCATATATAATTTTTCTATATTTCATAATTAATTATTTTTTATTAAATTAGTCAGCTCGACCCAACTATAGACTTAATGAATGTCTATATAATGATTTTTACATTGTAAGTACAATAAAGAATTAGAGGTTAAATTGACTTTAATATCAAATATGTTTTTTTTTTTTAATCATTTTAAATAAGTTCAAAAGTTAAATTAATCTGAAAAGTGAAATTAGATATTTTTAATCATTTTATACAAGTTTAGTAGCTAAATTGACCCAAAATATTAAATCTGACATTTTTTATCATGCTAAACAATTTTAGGGATCAAATTGACTTTTGTTTCTTAATTTTTCTACAAAACAGCTAATAAATATGCGTAAAATTGAAAAAAATAAATAAATATATTATCAAAATCCTAAATAAGCACTTAAAAGAGTTAAAGTGAAACATAATAAACTATCTATTTGTTGCTATAGAAGTGGAACAAAGGGAATAAAAAAAAAAAAAAGATTACAATTATAATAATATCATGTTCTTATATGAACTAATTTGCTCTCCTTGAGTTTCAAAATTTGTATAAAACACAATTCTCTTTCTTTACAATAATAATAAATACATTTCATGACAGTTTTTTAATTATACAATATTCTTATATAGAGGGTTCTAAATAATTATATGAAAAATAAATAATTCATATTAAAATTAATTAGACGGCTTGGAAAATATAATTTTTAATGACCTAATCTAAAAATTTAAATAATTAACCAATAATAAATTTATAAAATAAAAATCTAAAACTATACATAAAACATGATAAAATGATAAAAACGTAGAAAAAAAAAATCTTTATTACCCATTTCTATTCTTTTTTCAAATATCAAAATTAGGTTTCATGTTTAAAATATTTTCAAATATTCAATCCATTTCCCCAAAAAAGAATAATCTAGAAGTAGAAGAAGTAGAAAAGAAATATCGTACGATATTACGTGGTCGGTTTAACTTTTATAGTAATTACGACATGTCGTTATGCCATAAGTCAAAGGTTAATAGTGAGCATAGCATGTTGATATACTGAAGCCTCCCAATTCAACCATAAAAATCTAATTCTGTACTTTGATTAATTAAATTATTTAACTTAAATCTAAATTAATTTTTTTTAGTTAATTGTATTCCTAACTATATGATGCTTGCAATGGAACCATTAGAAACATTAATAAAAAATATATTTTTTAATGAATTTCATTTTCTTAACAAAAAAAAAAAAAAAAAAAATTATTTTCTAACAAAAAAAAAAAAAAAAGAAAAAAAAAAAAAAAAAAAAGAAAAAGAAAAGAAAAGCCTCATTTACAAGCATTAGTTAAAATGAAACAAATAAAATCTGCTCCATTTAAAGATGGAAGTATGTATTTTAAAAATAAAATCTAATCTGCTAAACAACATGCATTGTTTATTTTACTTAAAATTATATATCTTTTATTTTTTATAATCATCCGATAAAATTCAATCTGAAATTGATCCGACCTAACTAAAAAAACAAAGCGAGTGATAAGGTAGGTATGATTTGGTAATTTGGTAAGAATAGGAGTAACACCATTCCATATCTGTCCTATTGTCATCCCTATGTATTAGGTATAGAATAAAACAAAATTACCGTTATTAAAACATATTGGTGCAAAATCCATAATATTTATTACCATCACATGCAGTCATATATTTAAAATAGGACTCGATTGATTAAATTATGAAAATGCAGTAGGCAAAATAAAAATTTCTCCATAATCCAACTCCTTTGCCTCTATATGCGGTGTCCAGGTATCTCATCCTCCCCACTACTACTTCCATGTTATTCCTTCTGAAAATAAAAACACAGATAAATATATATTATTATTCCTTGTCCATTAGCCTACCAATTAGAGATACACACACGTATATATATATTCTCTTATTTTGTAAGTTTTAACTCGAGAAATCAAAAGTCGATTCTCTCTGCAATTTTCTTTACTATTCATGGCAGAAAACCTAAGAATCATTGTTGAAAGAAACCCATCAGAATCCAGACTCAATGAATTAAACATCAAGTGCTGGCCCAAGTGAGTTCCTTTCTCTCTCTCTTTCTTTCTTTCTTTCTTCCTTTTATGAAAGTTTAGATTTTGATTTCTGGGTTTTGTTTGGAAACGAAGATGGGGTTGTTCACCGGGAAGATATCAGCTAAAATTTGATGCAGAAGAGACATGTTATCTGTTGAAAGGGAAAGTGAAAGCATATCCAAAAGGGTCGTCAGAATTTGTTGAGTTTGGTGCTGGAGATCTTGTTACTATACCTAAAGGACTCAGTTGCACTTGGGATGTATCTGTAGCCGTTGATAAGTACTACAAATTTGAGTCAACTTCATCACCACCACCACCACCACCACCTTCTTCTTCTTCTTCTTCTTCTTCTTCTTTTTCTTCTTCTTCTTGATCTTATTTTGTAGTGATTATTATTATTATTATTATTTTTAAAAAATTGTTAATTAGGTTAATTACTTCTCATCAGATTTAGAATAACAATCTTACAGTTCTGAAATCAACATTAGCAATATTACTGTTCTTATTGATTTGTTAGTCATCTTCTTCTTCTTGTTTATGTTCGCCAATTCATTCTTTGGAATTTGATTCCATTAGGTTAAGTTCTGTTCGGTATTTTTAGAAGGAAGGAAGGAAGGAATTGTGATTTTCTTCTTTCTCTTCCAGTCAAAGAAAGATAAAACAATTAGTCAATGCATGTCATTATTCAAACTAATCTTTCTTTTTGCGTCTTAAAATAAGCTTTTAATGTTCCTTTGACTGGTCAACTGTTCTTTTTTTTTTTTTTTTTTTTTTTTTTTTTTTTTTTTTTTTTTTTTTGGGTGGACAGTGGAACAAAAGAAACTAACTTTTCTCTAACTGCTTTCTGTGTCTTTGGTGAGAGATATTATTGATGACCACTTCCTTCCAACACATTATTTTTCACATGCCTTAATTTCTATAATTTATTTTTATGGATTCGAAGTCAAAGTAAACCGAAATAATACTGTAGCTTACGCGTACAGACATTAATAAAAATTTTTATGATCGAAATGATTTAATTTTAAAATTTTTTAATTTTCACATTTCTGTAAAAATTAAGAAGATTAACATAATCATGTGTTTTGCTTTTATTTACATTATCCTCTTCTCAAAAGATTAGTTTAATAGACTTATAAACCATTTACATTATCATGCAAATCATGTTTAAAAAAAGGAAAAGAAAAAGAAAAGATCTTTGAAAACACCCACACCCTTAGTTTGATTTATCGATAAGACAAACCTACTTGTTATAAAGATAAAGACGATAGTACCCAAATATAATGCCACTTGTTCAACTTACCTTTATTAGAGAAAAAGAATAAAATAGTTTGGAATAGGATACTTTTGTCCTTATGAAAAAAATAAATAATAATAATAATTGAGATGACAAATTTTTAAGCATCGACGTCAATTTTGTAGGGTTATGGAATAAATGGATAAGCTGGTTGGAATTTACATCTCACTTGGTCAGCTTTACGAAGAGGAATATACCATATCTATTCTCCCAAGTACTTTGGTTTCTCTGCTGCTTACTGCTTAGCATGGACGACCAAGCAATAATCAATCAAAAAGGAATTAGCTAACTTTAGGGTTGAAGATTTTTGTGTGAAAAATTATAAAATTAAGTCTTTTTTTTTTTTTTTTAATAAATTAAGTGGAAAATGCTAAGAGTAATAATGCTCATTCAATAAAAATTTATGCACATGATAAAAGCAATACATGATGAATCATTATCAAATATTTTTTTATTATAAAATTTTTAGGGTTTTGGGTCCCATTTCTTGCTGTATGCTTAGCTGTATATCTGTTTTATAGTGTAGTTTGGATAGAGAATAATTGATCACACACTCCCAATTGTTTATAATCAAACATACTCTTTCACTTTCATATTGGCTTCCTAGAATCTTCCAACACCTGATATGATCTTTTATGATCTGTCAGCTGAGGAAGGAACTTGTCCTTTAACCTATTAAGAACACTTCCAGCATCTCCTAGTAAGGGAAAAAGCTAAATTAAAAAAAAACACATATATAAAAATCAACTTCCAAGTTTTTGACCCAGCTTTACTTTTATTTATTTGAACAAAAAGAAAGTATGCATTTTGCCTTTCCAATACAATTAAATAATGGAGGATGCAATTATGGTTGAATTTCATTATCTAAAAAATAACCATCACACATTAATTTCTAATAAATCTCAACTACTTGTTATCAATTCCAGAGAAGGATCTAAAACCAGAATACCATAATAGAGGTGAAAAGTACAACAATGGTAATGCGAAATTTTGATGGGTTTGGAATACAACAAGGTATCTTTCCCTAGGAGTTCTTAGTTTTATTTAATTTGAACCTGGTCTAAGGATCCTAAACGCCAGGAAGGAAATTAACAAGAGCAGCTGTATCTATTTCTAAACAAAAAGCAACCACCCAAAAGGAGGAGGAGAAGAAAGAAGGAAAGAAGAAAAATAATTCATTTTTAGAGAAAAAAGAAGTAGAATTTGAAAGAGAAGCAAGAAAACGTCAGTTCATTACTGCGATACAAATATTTTACATTTTTCAGCACATAAATTAGAATACATTTCTATAGTTTGCTGCTGTAGGCGAATCTGTAAGAACCCAACAGTTAGTCACAGATCTGATCCAAACCAAGTATACGCTAAGGACTTCCTATCAGTAGAGAATGCTGTCAAGGTTAGGTAAGTGCATTCAAACTCACACCATAAGTTAAATTCGTGCCTCATCCACAACCAAGATGATGCTTCTCTCCTATTAAGAAAATGTACAAAATAAGAAAAATGGGGGAATATTTCAGCTACAAAAATGTCAAACTTGGATCCATATTATCTGAATAGGTAATATATACAAGGTGGTAGATGAGTACCGTTGAGGTAGAATTCGCCGTTCACACATTGGAAGCATAGCAATGGTTTTTAACCTTCCAAGGCATACGTCTGGACCTGCAAACAATATAAAAATCACAACTTCAAAAATTAGTAATTTTTGTCCAGGGTCAGATAACCTAAATACTGAACAACAAAGCAAAATGACAAAATTCTTTCATGCAATTGAGAAGCACTCTCAAAATAATTATCGCAGATGAACAATAAATTCTGTTACTGGCGCAAATTTTGAGAAAAAGGAAACCCTCTTATAGCTGTGTTCTTAGATGCAGGAATTTGTATATAGAAAAGCCTAACTCCTTAGACAGTTAGAGCAGCATAATATGAACTAACAAAAATCAATAAGACCCCAATCCTGCACAAGTTCTACTATTTGGTTCACACTCCTTCAGTCAATTAAGGTTTGAGTCAGATGATTGAACTCTATCACTGGGCATGGCCTCACCAACCCTTTTTTTTTTCTTTGCTAAAAATATTCAAGGAAGCCACTTCAGAAATCAAATTTTCACATCTTTATCACATTGATGCCATACCAACTCTCAAGGATAACTAGTAAGATCATCCCAGCTTGCTTATGAACAAACTACCTTTCATATTTGACACATTATACTGTCCATAAAAAAAAGCATGCGGTATTTTCTTTCTTTTGTTGGTGCACGAGTATTGAACCAGACAAAAAGAACACATTAGTAAAACTATAAATAAACAGAGTACAGCAACCTTTCAGACTATTCTACCTCAGCCAAGTTATCATGTGGAGAATAATTTGATCCAGCGCAGTTTACACCATAAGCACCATCATAACGGAGTATCCTAAGTTTCCCTTCCTGCAATCACAAGTAAGTGTTATGCAGTTAAAGAATATAGACTTGGTAAAAAAGTAAATTCTCAGAGATAAATGCACACCTTGGTTCCATAAACAAGACCTCCCCCAGCAAAAGGATGAAAACAAGCAACATTGACCTCATCCTCAGCGCTAGGAAGAACTCTCACCAGTTCCATATCTGAAACTCTGTAAACCTGAACAGCGGAAACAGAGAATTGCAGAAGTTTGCCATGGGAAATGGAAAATGCAAATCATTTGACTATGATATGTCCAATGGCATATATCTCCTTTTTTTTCTAAAGGAAAGTGAGGGGAGAAAGAAGGGCGGGGGGTGATATTTTCTCATGTAACAAACAAACTATGTGGAAGATGCAAGAATTATAAATATTTACCTCCAGAACTGTATAAATAGGAGATGTAGTTTCCCCATCAATAACAATGCTTTTAAGAAGAGATCCATGACGCCGACCATAAGCCAATAGTATATGCTCAGAAGTTGGTGAGAACTGCATACAAAATATGATTAAGTTCAATCCACAACAAAATAAAAGCAAAACTAAAACTATAAATGATAGTGAAACTTGAATAACATTAGACATAGACAATCACGGTGAATATGCAGAACTACATGCATCCTAATATTTGTCGAAAATGATCTTAAGCACAACAACTATGTCTTAATCGCAGCATCTAAACCATTAAATCACCAAAGTAAATTAAGCCTTGTCCTTTCCTCAAAAAAATTACAGCTTCCAATAAATTAATAACCTGGACATTGGCATGGCTAATAAACCTTGAACCACACCGACTGGAAGTCCGTTGTCTTTTACCAGTTCAGACAAATGCAATAGGATTAACACCATGAAATAATAGTATCAGCATGCCTCTTACTAAATAGATGAAATATAGTGTATGTGGAGATTCCAGAGGAAAAATGTAGGGGGAATCTAATAAGCTGTCATTCAGAAATGCCTACAGAGAGTACAGCAAGCTTTCATCTTATCATGCATGTATATAAACATAACACTAGGTGCAAATCATAGTGAAAAAGCCATTTTTGTTGCAAGCATGCATGATACAAGCACTGAACCAATCAAGAAAAAGGGATGCAAATAACTTCCATCTACCAAAAGGCCACTGACCTGGATCGAAGTCAAACAATGGGCAGCTCGAATTGCTCGTGATACAAGCACTGAACCAAAGCTGCAAAAAGAAAATCAGAAAAATTATAGATCAGATAAGGCATCCTTCAGATTGAAGAGTAATAACTACATGATTATATAATGAGTTGGAATGAATTTTACGTTGCCTCCTCCATGGAATATATGCGGAGCTCATACATAACTTGATGTGCTGAGATTGGGTGTCGGGTAGGTGAAGTTGCAGCCCCTGTATCTTGTTGAACTAATGTCTGTAATCCAGGGTCAGCTTCCATGTTAGGAAGCATGCAAGCAACACAGGCAGCTAAATATCTTCCACAGGGTGAAAAATGAGCACCCATTTCACTGCACACACAATTGCAAACAATATTGGCAAAGTAAACATAACAAAAGGCCAGCCTAAAAGATTCTTGTACCAAAACACCATAAGACTTGACTGTTCTGAGATTTATACATCTCAAAAACAAATTCATGGAGAGATATGATTACATAGATGTTCAAACATCAAAGAACCTAGAAAACACCCTAGCTATGCTTGTCCCAAGATCAATTATTAATATCAATACACAAATAATTGAAACATTATGATATTTTGGTTAGGTAATAAAAGATTCTGTTAGGGAAATCATAACATTCCACATACCTACATAAGACAGCATGAGGTATGGTTAAACGACACCTTTCGGCATTGAGTGGTGCACAAGGGCGTTCTATATCATGTGACCATACCCTGAGCTTTACAGTACAAGGCAACTCTGCAGCAGCAGCTGCCAGTGATGTGGCAATTTCAGATTGAATTCTGTTAAATATGGGCTGGTTGTCAATACCATCATTTTGCATATTCATGGGAGCTATACTCTCCCCAGAAAAGCGGAAACGTGAAATTTGATGTTGCAAGCCAGATCTCCCAGAAACCCCAGACAGGCTAGTACTAGCAGGCATTGCTAAATTAGCCACTGGAGCCTCCACACTGTTACCAGGTAAATAAGATGTTGAAGAGGAACCTGCATATTGGGGTAAATATTCACGACCACCGCTGTTAAGAGGAAGAGTTGATGGAACGCCAGCTTGGCTTTGGCCCATTAACCATCCTTGCAAAAAGCGTAGCTCCCACCAAGTTGGATCTCTAGAAGGTAAGTATTGATGAAGTTGCCCTAACTCTGTGGAATGCTGCCTAACAGAAATATTTCCAGACACACCACCCACTGCACTACTACCACCACCAGAAGTTTCTGGATCGGTATAGCTTCCTTGCAAGTTCCCCCCTATAGGCTGCAATTCATCAGTCTCCATGGCATCCACTGTTGTCTCAGAAACACCACTTCCTATTCCAGTATGAAAAACATTGCTCAATGTACCTTCTGTACTGTGATATGAACTAGAAGGAACAGCAGGAACTGTCTCCATGGGAGACACTAAGGTGTCGTACTTGTCTACTGCATTTCCATCTGTTTGCAACTGCCTTGAACCGGAAGACTCTATCTGCATTGTCATTGGACTGACCTGTCTATTAGTATCTGTTCTAGTATCATCTACAGAGAATGGAGGCATTAACAAGAAAGGCAAGGACATGAGAGGTAGTTCCGTGGCCAAACTAACACGATCACTGGACTGTACATTTGTCACAAAAACTGCTGGAGGAGGGTATTTTAGATAACCCGGAGATGTTGCTCGCGTCATTGAGGAATCTGAAGAGTCAAGATCATTGACCTGCATATCAGTCCAGTAATGTAATCTACAAGATAGCAAGAGTAAAACAGTCAATTAAATGCCCTTTGAATTATTCACCTCAGCAGTCAACAGAAATGGAGCAGCATGTGGGTGAAAATGCACTGCTCGAAGAGAACGCCTTGTCTTCAATACAATGGTTGGTGAGGAAGCCTCCCCTCGCTTATTGTAGTGCCATATGTACAACTAGCACATGATATCAAATGCCAATATTATATTAAACTACAAATTAATGTCTACAATCTTTCACATAATGGAAGGAGAGGAAAAGATTCAAGCAAGTAAAAACTAACTACAAGAGAAGGTGAGACTGAAAACCTTGTGACCTGATGCAACTGCAAGCAATTCACCTTCAGCATGGAAGGCAATGGAAGCAATGGGACGATCTATGAGGGGAAACACATACAGAAAAATCAGTTCCAGCCCATGTCATACACATTTGAATATATGGGAAAAATAATTACACAATAGTAACAAAATGGGAGTCAGAAATGAAATTACAGAAATCGCGAGATCCTATACACTCTGCTGTGTTTGCATCCCATAAGCGAACCTCGTAATCCAAGCTCCCACTTGCAAGAATTTCAGGATGCAATGGGTGGAACCTAACCTGTAAAATGAGCTAAAATGACTTTTAAGGAAGATAAAGTTATAAATGGAGCAAAATATTGAAAAGTTATTATTAGCCTATGTAAAATAACTGAAATAAGCTTATCATTGAGCAAGAAGTTCCTCTGAGCAAGATGCAAATATTATCCAGTTTGCTAAGTTATTGGTCAGAAATGGAAACAACCAAGCAAATTAACAACTAACAAGTGCTTTTCTCAGCAAAATCTGCATTCCTACTCACCACCCAAGGAGTCCTCCGATGACCACTTAACACCTTTAAGCAGTTTCCCGTTTGACAATCAATTATCTTTACAGTGTGATCGCCGCTGTACGAATCAAGAGCAAGTTAACTACAATCATATATTGATGCCTAAATAACAAAACAAAAGATAGTAGGAAAACTTACTGAGTTGAAGCAAGTGTTCTTCCGTCAGGACTAAATGCTGCTGCAATAGTTGACCTTGGAGGAGGCACCAAAGGACAATACTTGGCAGATAAATGCCGCAATGACTCTGCCTCAACCCTATAAAATATAAACGAGTGAATAAACTAACAAATGAAAGAACACCAATAAGTGAAGCACCAAATACCATGAAATAAGACCCCGTTTTGCATCTCTAGCCGGTTCAGTTTTAGGCACAGATGATGAATTAGCATTCCATTGAGAAGCATCAGCCCACTGCCGCTTCGGTACATGCTTTGTACTGGGGCAAATCTCTCTCCGTACTAACAAACAAAATGCATTTCTACCACTGGAAGATAAATGAAAACCAAAATCACACAATAACACAAAATCAGATTACCTGCAATTAACGAAATTCATAATTCAAATCAAAGCTAATCCTAGGACTTGAGATTCAATCAAGTGAAATTACAATTACAAATTGTAAATCATATACTTGTTCTGATTAAATCTACTGACCATTAATCCGAATCAAATCTGAACAAAATCAAGAAGCTAATTTCAATCCTAATTACAAAGCATCGCCTCAATCTACCAATCGAATCACAAAAGATATAAAACATCTAACCTTCGAAGAGAATTACTGGAAGCACGAGATTGAACCGAATTTCGATCGCGCGATAAGGAACGACGACCAGTCATTTCCTTATTTTCACAATTCAAGCTCATAAAGTTCAGAATTTAAACAAGAAAACAAAAAAAAAAACGTTAATTATAAACTTAAAATGGTTGCCGATGTTAGAGGAACGAAGAGAGTAACATTTTGGAACCCTAATTGGTCGATTCAGATTGAGAAGAAGCAGAACAAGGATCGATCGAGTCTAGGTAAAAAGAAAAAAAGGTGCGTGCGTTTTGTGTGTGTGTGTGTGTGTGTGTGTGTATGTTGATTTTGGATTTGAAATTGTAACAAAACCTAAACCAGGAGCTTATGCTGGACTAAGGTTGGAATTTTGATTAATTGAAAGATAATAATATGATTTTTCTTTTTTTATTTTATTTTATTTTCTCTTTCATTGTTCATGAGTCTTGACTAATACACCCTTTTCTAAAGTTAAATTACTAAGGCGCTTTTTATGTTTTCTAGTTAAAAATAATAAATCATAATATTTTTTTTCTATCAGAATTTAACAGCCTACCTTTATGTATCAAATTTTTTTATGTTTTGTACGATACAGCTTTGACCCGAAATAATATTCAGATAAATCTCTCTGACTAAATATGATTTATCTTTGACTAAATACGTTAAAATTGAAGATAATATTTAGATAAAATTTTTAATTATAATTAGCCTAAATTTTGAATTCTTAATATTAGTAGTAAAATTAGTTTAGAAATATAATTTATTTCTATTTATCTATTCATTCAATCATAATCCAAATTGTTGATATATTATTTAAAATTAATTGTAAATGATGATACTTTATTGAAAAAATAAATAATATAGATAATATTTAGATTAAATTTTTAATTACTAATTAGCCTAAATTTTGATTCTTAATTATTAGGTAGTAAAATTAGTTTAGAAATATAATTTATTCTATTTATCTATTCATCAATCATAATTCCAAATTGTTGATATATTATTTTAAAATTTTTTAATTGGTTAAAAAAAAATTTTTATTTGATACTTTATTAAAAAAATAAATACATATATATATATATATATATTATTTTTTTTTTTTTTTTGTTTTTTAAATGTGAGGTATAAGCAATTTGTTTTTAAATGTGAGTATAAGAAACTTTGGATTCTGAGTTTGTTCACTAAAATCTTGTTTGATAATAGTTTTTTCACGTAGTGTTTAATGTTTCAAACCACTGCTTCCCTTCAACGTTTGGTGACATATTTGTAATAATATATTCCAAAAAAATAAGAAAAAGAATTATATTCAGATGTTTTGTGAAAATATTGGCAATTTATTTTCACATAATTTTCTTTTAATTTATAATTAATCTCTGTTCTAATTTTTTGATGGATAAAATATTTATCTTTTTTTTTTAAGGAATAAGATATTTATGTAGTACTTTATATATAATTATAATATCATGTTTCAATTATTTAAACATAAAAGAGCACAAAACCAAAAAAATAAAAGTAAAATAAAGTATTAACATTAAAGAGATAAAAAAATTAAAAAAAATGTAAAAAATTAAAAAACTATAATTGCGTTAACTTAATTGGTATACCTTTTCAGTACTGAGAGTACAGACTCTGATCTAACTCTTTATCCTTAACGAATATACTCTTAACAATCACCGTTGAAGTATTCAGTAAACTGAAAAATTAAATTCTAAAAATTTGAAACATAAATAAATTTTTAAAATTTCATTTGTTTTTATATTTATCACTCTCCATGTATATTTCCTTTAATGTAAATACTGATGTAGCAATATATTAAAATACAAAAGTACTGAGATAACATTTTTTTATTATAATTAATATTTTCTCTTGCATTCAAAAAATATTAATTTTTTTTATTAAATAATGGAAGTACAATCTGATGGACTCTGATGGAGTTGTTATTAATAAACATTATTTTAAATTAAATTTTCCACTGAATATAGTAAATCAATTAAGATTTTAAAACTTAATTAAAATTCGATTTAATGGTTGAATAAAAACTAATTTAGCGTCTGAATTCAGCAAAAAAAGTTCAATTAGGTCCCTACACTGTAAATTGGCTCAATTAAACTCCTAAACTTCCTTACTTAGACGGGCACATGGCGCCACAGCCACTAGATAAAAGGGTAAAACTGAGTTGATCCAAGTTACCACCTGAAACAAAAAAAAAAAAAAAAACCTGAGTTTGATTCCAAGTTACCGACCTGAAACAAAAAAAAAAAAAAAAAAACATAACATTCCCATCGTTATATAAAAAATGACGTTCTTTGAATATTTATTGCACGGTACCTTTCAAAAGGTTCTAATGAAAATAAGTAGTTTGCAAAGATGCCTTAACACCTGAAAAAAAAAAAAAAAAAAAAACATAACATCCCATGTTTATATAAAAATGACGTTCTTGAATATTTATTGCACGTACCTTTTCAAAAGGTCTAATGAAAATAAGAGTTGCAAGATGCCTACAGTGTGAGTGAGTGGAATGCAGATATACATTTACAGAGGGGACAGACCTGCTCCAAAACTGAGAAGGGGGCAACAAGAAGAAGCCACCTATTTGCAAAACCTATAAAAGAATAACAAATTGATGATAATATGTGCTATACATTCAAGGATCAAAAGCTTATTACTTTGTTTCTTCAAATGAGCTTCTCAGGTAGTAATATTCTTGGATTGGCTGGGTCTGGGTCCCCATATACGGATCGTATGATCATCACTTGCCGAAGCCAGCATTTGATGCCTTCTAGGGTTCCAGCTCACACAGTTCACCGTCATTAAATGGCCAGATAAGACCTCGATCGGCATAGGTATTCGCCTGTTCCAAATGTACACCTGCTAAGACGTTTGATCTAGTTCAAGTTTTTCATTATTTTGGAAATGAACAAATCTGCTGTTGCAGGTGTAATTCTGCCATAATGAGAAAAATCGGATAAAGAGGCAAACCTGTGAATTCTCACTGCCACTGGCAATAAATGAGCTATTCAATCCACCAAAGCAGGAACGTATGACATACTTGTGCTGTTTGTGGCCCATATATTTTAATGCCTTCTGTTTTCCAGCCACATCCCACAAATGAATCTCTTGGCTGTTAAGATTGACTATAAAGTACTTGCTATCAATGGAAACTGACAGGGAGGTGATTGGGTGCTCCTCAGAGATGACTCTTTCAGCATTTGTCACCAAATTGAATATCCGAATGTCCTTATCAGAAAATACACTGATGAGATGTTCCCCATCTGGTGTCACAGCAAGATCCAAAACCTTAGGCATCCTCGTGCCCCTCCATGCTTTTATCTCGTTCCCATCAGAGTCCCACATGCAAATGCCCTTCTCAGGGTCGGAACTGCCACACACAAGTCGCTTTGAGTCGGGAAACCAAGCACATGAGCTAACAATGAAGCTATGATCCCCAAATGTATGCTTGCATGTACCTGTTTCCACATCCCACAACTTGAGCACTTCCAAATTTCCACATGTTAACAACTTTGTATCATCAGGGCTCCATGCCACAAAGGATACTGGGTTTTGGTGGCTTCGCAATGTGCGCTGAAATGTCAGCTTCCCATCTTCTAGTACCTAGTACAAGAAACAGAGAACTATAAAATTAAGATAGCCAACCGAATCACCTTCAAGTTGGTTCACATTATTCTTCACCAGCTACATAGTTAAGTATTCAAGCATAAACCCAAAATCATCTCAAGATAGCACAAACATGTGAACCTGCGAGTCTATAGCATTAATTAAATGCAAAAAATGAAGATAACCTGCAAGGATGATTAGTGATTGAATAGTCATGACTACAGCCAAAAAACCAGTTGCAAAACTAACAGCTACTCAACTTAGAAAAAGCAAGAGGGAAAATCTACAGTTTTCTTTTCTAATCTAGCATTTGACTGTGATTCTTATTTAGATCAGATACAGAGAATTTAATTATTTTTCCTGTTTCATGTAGATACCTAACTTTTTAAATTTTCATATCAGAAATAAAGATTATATCAAAAAAGAAAATATTTTCTGGCTCCAACTTCTAGAACAGTACCATAGAGTAAGTATCATAAAGTACCTTCCATATGATGGCTGTGCAATCACTCGATGAAGAGGCTAGGTACTCCCCATTATTAGAGAACTGTACAAACCAGACCTCATTCTCATGCTGAGTCAAAATCTGCAAATAACAACAGAGAACAAGGTAACATGTAACTTTAATCATACACAATAGCAAATTTTGGATGGACAATCCGGGAAATATGCAACTCAAACGGTCAAGTGCAACTAAATATTGAAGTCAAGTGCTGCAGAAGGATTTTACAGCAGTGGACCATTCTATGAATATTTGAATATTGATAAACTAAGGAAGGGAGAAAACTTATCTATAAAGTCCACAAGAGTTAATTTATATCATTGCATACCAATCACATTTTCTTATAACATTAATGACAGTTTACCACTCAATGCATAAGCATGTTAAAAGATTCCCCTGTTATATGAGAGTTTAAAGGACACATCAGTTTCAAGGACTGCTGAGTTATTCTAGATCCATCATTTTCAAGTAACAATGATACATACCATTCTGTTTTTGGAGACTATAAATAGCAGCCTCTCCCCCAAACCAATCACCAAAAATAGAAAAATAAAAAGAGCAGTTTCTAATGTTGGAAACGAGTAAACAAAGGCCATCCCTGACTTTAGTGGTTTTATTGTGAAGATGGTAACCACAACAACACAGCTTTACTAAGGCTTTTAAATTAATTAAAATATTAATCATCATTAATATAAAAAATTTAATGAGGAATATACAATGCCAATATCCAATTCCAAAGGCTAATTAAGAGGGGGATCTATTCAGGTGACAGCCTTAAACACCGCAAATTTACTCAATCGCTCCTCACCAATTGAAAAAGAATCACATTTTCACAGCGTGTAAGCTTGCAGTAAGCAACAAAAGTTGTGTATTTATATATGGATGATGAATTAAAGTTGTAGCCTTTACAAGAACAAATTCATTCTTAGTTACGCTTCACCACTTTCATTTGTATGTCCTGCTGCCTTTTTCTTTACCCTCTTCCTTCTCAATTAAAGATTAGGCACAATGGTAAATTTGGCTGTAACAGTCAGGTTACTTCAGGGTAACCTGCAATTCACAACTATAGCAGCAGCCTCTTGCAAAGCAAGAGGAAAGGTTGAATACATTAAACCCTCCCCAAAGCCTACAACATGCATGGGACACCCTTTAAAAGATTAACAGCAATGGTGAGTCTATCAAGGTTTAGGATTACTTTGGTCTATAAATATCCATGTTTGTGGCGCTTTTATAATCACAAAATTTCAGTAACAAAATTTCAGCAATTTATGCTTTTATTTCTGAGTTGTGTGATGCAATTCTAGTCCTAGGAAGAGTGATGCTTGCTTGATAGGATTGAGTCCTAGATCCTATTGTTATGATGCTAGTAGTTTATTATAATTTTCTTAATTTTTCCACTATCTATTCTAAAGAAAATCAGACTTGCCAAGTTAAAATTTAAGGCCTAACTCTACTCTTCCTTAAGCGCAGCCCAATTTCCAAAAAAGTTAGGTTTCCCAAGCTGTCTTCTGTCAGTATTGCAAGTAAATAGTTAAATGACGTGTACAAACCACCATAGCCCGTATTCAAATATGTAAAGCTGACAATTACCAGTTTTTACAAGAAAGTATGAATGCGCAATGTTTTGGAGAAGAAACAATTTTAATGGCAGCAAGAAGCAAACCTGGACGGTCTCTGTAGGAATCTGTTCTCTTGTACAGCAATGGTCCTCATAAAGTGAAACTGCCTCCGGTGAATTATGATACGTACATGAATCGACTTGAGCTGTGACAGTAGTTTCAACTAAATGTTCCAGCCTTCTTTCAGGCAGCACTAGTGGAGGAGGAAGCAATTTTTCCAACTCCATCAGCAACCTTTTTCGCAGCTCAAAAATGAAATTTTCATCTTTGTTACCAAGGTCCATCTCCTTCAAGCAAAGGAGACTAAAAGCAAGATTCCGGATATTTTCCCTGCCTAGTTGTAATGCAGGAGCCTGTTTCCGCAATACAGACAGAGCCATTGAGTCATTCCCACAACTTAAGCACTCTAGCAAAAATTGCTTAAACACAAGGAACAAAGCTGAAGCTCGCGTCTCATCCACCAACTCCTTTATTGCACTAAGGGTATTAATACAGCCATTCCAATTTCCTTCAAGGATTTGTGACTCCATCAATTCAAAATCCACAGATTTATACGAAATCCCAGATTCTGATTCCAAACAAGATGCAGACTTTCTATAACCCAAAGAATAAAGACTCTGAATTATAACTCTTACAAATTCATGTCTTTTTATCAAACCTTTTGATCCAATCTGTATATCCATAGTATTTCCGAAATTCTTTGCACGATTTAATGAGCTTTATCTCCTTCTATGATCATAAATTCCCATTTCCTTGACTGTCCATGAATTTGAAGCTTTAGCAACAAATCAATATTGGCATCCGATTATCTATCAATGTGTGGAATCCCAACTTTCCGGGCATGCCCTAACACAAGAAAATATGGTATTCACCAAATAACCCAAAACCCAGATACAGAAATCATCAATACAGAAAGAAACAGCTGCCAAGTGCGAAAATTTAGCATCAGAGATTCATTACAGAGAGAACCCACAAAACCTCCGCACAAGAAACCTTCGAAACGATTATTCGAAAAATTTAATAAATAAAGTACTATTAACCGGTATATCCAACAGAATGATACCGGAGAGTACATACACACACGTATAGTTATAAACAGCTAAAGGAACCACAACAGAATTTCAAGTTCTAGTAGACAGTTACAGTCAAAATGGGTACAAAATAAAGCAAGAAATAATTGAGAAATAAGAGAGGAAAAGAGCTGACCAGAAGAGAGGAAAAGAGTTGCAGGTGGTGATGAGATTCGATTGTGGAAGTAATGATCCGTACGAGAAGATAGAAAGAGCCCGTGCCGTGATTGATTAGAAACCTGAATTATACGGGTAATTACAAGAGAATGAAAAAAAAAAAAAAAAAAAAAATTAGCTAGACCCAGTTACAGTCAAAATGCGGTTACAAAAATAAAGCAAGAAAATAAATTTGAGAAATAAGAGAGCGGGAAAAAGAGCTGCACCAGAAGCAGAGGAAAAGAGTTTGCAGGTGGTGATGATATTCGATTGTGGAAGTAAATGATCCGTTACGAGCAAGCATAGAAAAGAGCCCGATGCCGTGATTGATTAGAAACCTGTAATTAACGGGTAATTTACACGAGAATTTGAAAAAAAAAAAAAAAAAAAAAAATAGAATGAAGAAAGAAAACGCTATAAACTTGAAAATGACTCCCCAAAAATAACCGAGTCCGACGTAAACAATTAATAACGCTGTCGTTTTGTTCGTTCTTCTGGAAAGGACACGGTGCGGTTTAAAAAAAAAAAAAAAAAAAAAATAGAAGAAGAAAGAAACGCTATAAACTTGAAAATGACTCCCAAAATAACCGATCGACGTAAACAATAATAACGCTGTCGTTTTGTTCGTTCTCTGGAAGGAACGGTGCGGTTACTTGGTTTCTTCTCTAATGTTGCATTTTCAATATACATAACATAAATTCTATACCATTCCTCGAAAACTTATTTTTGGAGAATAATCTTTAAACGCTATGGTTGCAAGGAGAATTACACTTCCTAATTTTACTAAAAAATTAAAAACAGCCATAGCATTTTAATTTAGACAAAAATGCTAAATGTTGTCTTTATCTTTTTTCTACTGCTTTTTAAATAAAATTCATCTCTCTTAATTTTAAATTAAAGTGAATTACATGTTGATTTTTGCAGTAACAATTTAATTACATTTGTAATGTCTAAAAACTTTTTAGTTTCTTATTTATATTTTTGAAGGAAAAAAATTAAAACTAAACTGTTTAAACTAATAATTTTCATACAATTAAGTGCTTTTTAGCTAGAATTTCTCAAAAAAAAATTTCAAAATAAACTATTTTATCTCATAAGTTTTTTTTTTTTAGAAAATAAATATAAGACAATAAACATTTTTTAATAAAAAATAAATGAATTGAATTGATGTTTATATTGAACATCATTTGTAAAGTAAAATGATTCATTTTAATTTTTCGACAAAATAATCTAACAAAATAGCTTTCGCCCATTAGGTGTAGAAGTTTCTTTCATGTATTAAGCATATATTCTTCTACTTGCTTCCATTTAAATTATCCTTTAATTTCTACCCACATATGATTATAATTCTTTTAATAGTTTAAACATTCAATTATAAATATATTCATCCAAACATCAAAACATTATATTCTAAAGAAAAACATCAAAATGTTAAAAAATAAAAAATTCAGACACCACTAATATTTATTCTTTAAATATCTCAATTATAAAAAAATATATATATTATAATTTCAATATTTAAATGAATAAAAACGATTCTTTGCCTCAACCTTTCGACTTTAGAGCTTGGTCTGATTTCTTGATGCCTCATTCACAATTAGGTAAACACGAGGAGATTACAATCAACTCTACTGGGTAGAAGATAGGGGGGATGTGAATGAACTGAGCGGGCTTCAAATTTGCCAAACTCAAAACCTGCTCAGTAGAATTTAACTTGTCTTAGAGTTTAATGAGTTTGAAAATTTTATAATCGAGCTCGGTTCAATGAAAGCTCGAGTTCGATATAACGCTTGAGTTCAACTCATAAGGCTCGAGTAAGCCTAAAGTATATGTTGTATATAAGCATATATAAAAATTTGATAAGATTTGATGAGCTTTCGAATTGAATATCGGTAAACTCGAGTTTGAGCTCAATTCAAGCAGATATTTTTCAAACTTTTCCGAATCGAGCTAGAACAGCTCGCTTGTCGACTTACCTAATTTGCACTTCTTCACTGGTGATTGCACTAGTCAGAACACCAATAGATAGATCCAAATTCTGAATATTGCAAATGACAAAAAAAATTATACAGTAAAAAATTCATAATCACATTTGCAAAATTATACACTGAAGGTGTCAAAACTTAAAAGGTCATCTCACAACAGTACAAGCAAAGGTCATTCAAATATCTAATTGGATTGGTTCAGACTATCTCACATGCAAATTCATAACATTTAACAACTAAAATCATTATTTGCTTCAATGAACTAACAAACATATAAATATATAGTAGGGCAGTGACACTAAAGGACGAGATGGAGGCAACAAGGTAGCACAAGATGACTCAGAATATGAACCAAAAAGATCAAAACCCATAATGGCAATATATCTAAATTTTAAATGCCATTCACTACCATCCTCATTAATATGACCCAGTTCAATGAAGTAAGTTTCTTCATCTGTCTCATTCAAATCTCAATCTCTGTTCTTTTTAGCATAGTAATACAGTTGGATACCCATGTCCACACCAGAGCAGCATAACTCTTAAGAACAGAACTCTTATCGATTGATATTTAAAAAATTCGGCATCTTGATTATCTTTTGAATAAAAGAATCACTCATTCTAAACTTCATGTAGCCATTTTTACAAACACTTTGAGTGCGAGCAAGTTTTACAAACAAAAACACAATTTTTTCCCTGCTTTTTTCTCATCTCAAACCAATATTCTTTGAATATTCCCAAGTATGTTGCTTCCACCTAACAACCAATTTCATGGCTACTGTCAAAACCAATTAACAGTTTTTTCAGATGAAGAAATTACCATTATTGGCATGAGATTAATGCAAAAGATATAATGCAGGATCTTCAACTTTGTCTCCAAAATTGAAATGATAAGGTTCTTCTCATCACCCAAAGCATTTAGAGGCTCGGAGATTGGATCAAATTTCGTATTGAATCTTTGACCTCTTTATTCAAAAAAATTAAATCAAAATATCTTCTAATATAATTATTTTCTCAGTTGCATATTATATTTTAGGATTTTTTTTTTGGTACACTAATTTTACATTGTAAAGTAGAAAGTAAAATATATAGAAAATATTTCTAACGATTATTTAAAATTCCTTTAATACAATAATAAATTTCTTTTAATAAGATTGTTTTTATATTGTAGAATAGGAAGTATAAAATAAACTAAAATTTTCATATAAGATTGTTTATTTTATAATATATCATAATTAGTTTTAAAATTCTTATTATTTGTTATTTTCTAATATACACACACGCATACATATTGATTTTTTTTTATTAATTATGGAAATGATAAAAAGAATTTATATTTTAGCCCACTAAAATCTTAACTTCGTGAAATGAGTAATATAAACTTTTGCTAAACCTATATTTTTTTTTTCTTCTCAATATTTATAATTAAATTTAAATATTCTTAATTTAGTTAAATTTTTTAACATAAAAATTAGAATTTTCAATCTGATAAAGTTAATTTACTAATTTAAATATTCTTAATTTACTAATTTAACTAATTAGCAATCTGATAAAGTTAGAGAACCAAATCGCAGTATAATTTATAAAATCAAAACCAATCTGATTTGTATTCTTTTAATTAATATATTAGGTTTAATTAAGATATGTTCTTAAATATGGTTACTTTTCTTTTTTTCTTTTCGCTCTTAATTTTTTATTCGATTTTAATAAACTCATATCTAATTTCTTTTAATAGATTTGTTTTTTTTTTTATTATTATTGTTTTGTCTCCATATTTAAAATTCCTTTGTCCCTTCTTCTGTGAGAGTTTAGTTCATTCTTTGTAAAAATTTGTTCTTAAAAAGTATGATGTTGAATTTTATTTGGTTGGAGAATTTATATCTTGTTTTATTGATGTGTATCTTCGATCAATGGAGCATGATAATGCGACATGTTTTCTCCATTAATGCTATTAATGCATAGTAGTTTGAACTCATTCGTGTACATCATACGCAACAAGTTTTTGGAAAAGCAATTCAAACATAAAAGATCCAAATAAGTTATTTTATCGTCCAAATCAATTAAAGGATCAGTTTATTATTATGAAAATTTATATCGGTCAATGATATTTTCAATTATAAAAATTCAATATTATTTCTTTTAGTTTTAATTTTATTATTTAAAAGAATATAAATAATTCTTTTATTATTGAATGATCAACGAACTTTCTATTAATTATGATAGTAAGTTTTATGTATAGTCTAATTAAGCATTTGTAATACTTGATTTTATTATTAATAAATTATATTTTTTTCAAAAAAAAAAAAAGAAAAAAAGATTTTATTGGTTTTCTATTTTATTGACTGAAACACAGAGGTAATCTAATTTTGATCAGTAATATTGATTATAAGAATTCAATTCAATAAAATAAAAAATTATACTACATATCAAATATAGTTTATTTTAAACATTAGTAAAAATATTATTAAATTTAATAATTACATGCCGCCCTCTATTTTAATTGGCTCAAAAATATATTATAAATAGATTATAAATTATAAATTATAGACTATAGATGATAGATAGATTATGAACACATATAGTTTATATAAGTAGGAAGTTTTACATTTTTTATTGTACCTTAATTTCAGATGATTTTTATTATTTTTTGATAGTAAAAAAAAAAAGAATGAAATAAAAAAGGTTAGGTATATCCTTTTTGTTGTATAAAAATAGATTAATTTTTTGGATTATCTTAAATTATAATTTAATTTTTCTTTTTAAAAGAGAATAAATTTTTTATAATCTTTTATTTTTCTTTTTATTTAATATGCATTTTTATTAATAAATATATTACTATTATGGTTAATCAAATCTTGAAATAGAAAATTAATTAAGACATAAGTTTAGAAAAAATTATAAAAATATGTTAACAAAAGAGATTAAGTAAATATTATGACTTAACTATATACATTCTCAATGTAGAGTATATTTATAAGAAGAAACTTGCACTTAGAGATTCGTTTGTATCATATGGAGATTTCTTACCTAATTTACAGGCGGTTTGTAATTAATGAATTCCACAAAATTTATGAAATTTATTTGGAAATCTAAAATTTTTGTATTTGAAATCTAAAAGTTATATATTTGAATTTTATGAATTAAAAAATTTTATAAAATTGGATATGATTTACTCGAATTCTATTAAAATTGATGGAATTTCTAAATGAATTCCACAGAGCTAAACCACTAAAATTTATAACGACAAAAATATCCTTTATTCAAAACACTTTTCAAATTTCTTAACTGCTTCTCCACCGTCATCTTCTTTCAGCTTTAGATAAAAATTATCTTAATTATCTTTTGCTAACAATTTTATTCTACAATTATAATAATTATTATTTTTAATTGAAGAGCAAAAAGTAAATTAATAGTGCCAGCTTCAATGATTTTCCAGGATATGAACTCTTCTGCTAAAATCCAGTGCTTCATTTCTTAAACATCACAATTTTATTTGTTGTATAAAAATTTATTTAATTATTTATGTATAATTAATTAATTAGGGATAAAATGTGATTATATTTATTTATATGAATTTTATTATCTATATTTGAATAAAGAAACAACAAAGTTATTATATTCTATATAATAAATTTAATTGATATTTTTTTAACATTATTATTTTAAGAGTATTTGAGGAAATAAAAACAAATGAATTTTTATTATAAACATAATTTTGTACAATTCAATTGAATTCCTTATTTCAATTTATAACGCACCAAATATTAGAAATTTATTCATAAATGAATTTTATTTGAAATTTATTTATATATGAATTTTACATTTATAATTCATTTATTTTAAACGTAATATTAATTTACACGTGATTCTATACACAAATCAAATGAAAAGTTTTTTTTTTAAATATCACCATTTTATTATAATTTTTATAATTAAAAATATTATAGATAGGAACTAAAATACCATTTATAATTACTTTAATATAACTCTAACCTTTCCCGCAAATTATCAAAGTAGAAAAGAAAAGAAAATACCTCATTTTGAATTTATCTAAACGGAAAACGGTTTCCAAATGACGACAACAAGAAACGGCTCCTAAATTGTCGCTTAACAAGAGCGTCATGTTCACTCGCCTAAAACGAGCGTGTAGCAGACAGCCATCATCATTTTCCAAAAGCAGCGTGTATTTGCTATAGCAACACATTACCATACTACACTAGCAATAAAGGCCCCCTTTCTTTCCTTCCTACCCTTCTCTAACACAGTCTCTCTCTCTCTCTCTCTCTCTACTGCTTCAACTAAATTCTCACTCTTCTAATCAAAGTTCCATTTCAACTTTTTCTATCTTCTTCTTCCTTTTTGTCTCTTTTTAACACAGACTCTGGTTTAACTTATATATATATATATATATATATGGAGAGAGAAGTGTATGCATATGCTTGTGTACATGAGTGTATCTGTATGTGACTTTTTGTTTTTTAGATCTTTAAGCGCATTTTATGGATCTGCAACCCCACGCACGCGCATTGTGTAGCTTTTCTCTCTCCTAGGGTTTACTTTTTTGCCGGTGAACGCTCATTGCTGTTTACTATCAGCTATGCAATCTTTCAATGTGACTACAGAATGCAATGGAGTGGTTCGCCGGCGGTGCTGGAACCCTAGGAACTTCCGGTGGATCTCTGACTTGGTTGCTGTTGAGCTTCAAGGTCTTGGTTTCTGACAATGGTTGTTGTAGATTCTGGTTTGCCTTGAGTGAAGATGAAGATGAAGATGCTATCCTTGAAGCTACTTCTTATTTGCTTCCTTACCTTCGTTTTTACTTGTTTAGGTAATTTTTGAGATTCTTAGTTGAATTATTGACTTGAATTTTATATATTTCTCTCTACATTTCGTGAGAGGATTAGTTCTAGTTTTCTTTGAGAATTATAGGAGGTTAATCTTTGGGTGTTAATATGAAGCAACTGTTATTTTAGCTTGTTTTGTCTGTTGCCGAAGCAATTTTTGGTGATTTCGCTTGTGCAAAAGTTAGATAGGAGCGATTAGACAAAGTGTTAGTTGACATTTTTGTTTCTAATGTTCAACTGTCTCCAGTCTCAAGAAATGTCAATGAAATACCTATTTTTGTCCAAGTGAATGCTTGTTTACAGAATGCGTGTACATTCATATTTATACATCTCCCGATTTATAATCATGTGCTGTTTTTGGATGATGAACAATAAAGGAAGGGTTTGAACTTGATACCCGTGGTAACGGAAAATAATATTAAACACATAATAAGATAGCAGTGGGTTGTATGGATTGCCTCTAAATTGAAGCAAAATAACAAACTGTAGCTTACTTTTGGGACTAAGTATGTTAGGGCCATCTTTCTACATTCTAATTTATTTATTCATGCCATTTTTCCAGTGAGCATTGAGCATTGGTGTCATTTGTTCATGTTGTCAAAGTTTCTTGGTTATCCATTGAGATTTTTGTTGGATGGTTCGGTTGGTATATTGGGTTTCATTATTTCTATGTCCAAGTTTTAACTATAACTCCTTGGTTTATTTAAAGCTTAGATTTTTGCACAAAACTCTCTTCACAGCTTTATATTGAGGAGATGTATGGTTATGACTGATAGGGCGTTTACTTAACAGGTAGAACATCTAAAATGCTTGAAGGTTACCAAAAGGGAAATTTGTTTTATTTTTAAGGAATTCAATACAAAATGAACTTGCTGCTTCCATAATACCTTCTTAAATCAAATCAATAAAATCAAAACCTTTTTCTTCTTTTGGCCTCTTCACTGGATTTGAACGAAGATCATATTTGATGCAGCACTTACCATTACCAGTATCATTTTTAATAAAAAAAAGCCACAAATGGCAATTGCAAGGTTCTTGTAATTTGCTTCATTAATAAAAAATGACATTTTTACTTCTCATTTTTTCAGGGCACCAATTTCAGCATATACACTTGTCTCCTTCTCTTCAGCCAGATTTGCAATTATCTACAAAGGAAATTTTGGTGGAACATGGTAAAGTTACAAATTAATGTAGACGAAGAAATATTTTTTTGTTCTATAATTTTTTCTGATGATTCCTTGGTGTTGTAAACTTGATTCAAAAAGCTGAAGCTGGGAAATAGTATTAATTTAAATCCCATGCATGCTTATTGGATGCGGCTTGTAAGGGTTTTTGGTTGTTATATATCATACCATAAACTTATCTAACAACCATCATGCGAGAGATATTAGAAATGCTGGTTAAGGAATGCAATCAAGTTTCCTTATTGTCGTTCTTTGGGAATTATTCCCTGATCCTTCAATCCCAATTTTTTGTCCTTTCATTTTGGAGATCTCCAAATTTATATATTTTCAAAATTTTTAATATTTCTGGAACATTTCAAATTGTTCTCTCTAAGAGATTTTATTAGGAGAGAGTTAAGGGTATTTTTCGGAGGTGATTGAACTTTCGTGTCAGAAAGTGAGTTTGAATACTTTTTCTGCCTGGTTACGGCTTGCATGTGGTCGACGAGATAACACACTGCTCGATAGCCTACCTCTAGCCTACCAAGTGGGTGAAGCAGAAACCAATCACTGGAGCCTGGAGGTGTAAGAGGGGGCTCTTACTTTTATAACCACGTCCTGGTGGATTTGTTCTCTTGCTAGTCAGTAAATGGGACATCTTTTGTTGAAGATTCAGGTCTTACACTTGCTGTTCTTTAGTAAAATGATTGTAATAAAACCCTTTTGTTAACAATTTGTACCTTGTAATAAAAGGGAAACTAGATGGCACAAAATCTTGGAAATCTAGTCATAATCTGCGTTACTGGATTGTAATATTGTTCCTTTGAAATGACAACTTCCCTTTTCAGTGAGTCAGCCAGCGATTCATTTATGTTGCACATTTTTTTTTTTTTTTTTTTTTTGAATAGGTTAGAGCTCTGCTGTATTATTATATTCAAATCACTTGCTTGGACATTAACTGCAGACTATAATATGCATGCTGAAAATCATTTACTTATGAATGTTGTGCATAATATAAAACATCTAATCTGATTGGGTTATGGTATGATTTTGTGGTAAAAAAGAAATGTTACGAAATCATTTGGATGAGGCACACTCTTCATTGGTAGATAACAGAAAATGAAAGATTTTCCATAATCAGATAAAATTTTTGGGACATTTGAGAAAAATAGATAGGCATCCTTATTAATAAGAGGATCAGCTGAATGATTTTCAAGTCTTCTCACCTTTTCATTTTTTGATCACTTGATGCACTTATTTGTGACATCTCTCTCTCTTAGTACTTAATTTCTATCTTCTCGAGTCAAGAGGAATGGATGTTTGCTAATCCCTTACCGAGTTGTGAGGTTAGCCTGCCATTTCATGTTAAGAGGAAATGTTTCTTTGACAAAATTCCCTAGGTATCATCAAGTCAATCTTTTCATGTTTATAGGCTTATTTTAGGATCATTGTACAGTAATGATCATTGCGAATAACACATATGAGATTGTTTTTGTTTCTAACAGCAAGGTTGGGTTCAAGGAGTTATCCGTTTGCTCGATCGCAGCCACCTCAATTGCACATGGTTAAGCCTTCTGTTTCACCTGCACTTGCTCCATCCCATCAAGGTATTACATACAATTATTGTGGCAACTTGCTATATGAGTGATGCTGGCATTTGCTAATGTTATATCATCCATGGCAGCATTTGCTTCTGGTCCTAATGGGGCTCCTTTACCAAGAAGGCATGGTCATCATCATCACAGTAACCATGTGAAACCTCTTGTGTTTGCTCCATCCCCTTCTGAAGACCAAAGTAATATTTGGATGTCAACCTTACTTCTCTCTCTATATCAGATACTTATGACTCGATGATGTTAACAAAAGAATCTTTGGCAGGTTGTGATCAAGTTTGCACTGAGCCACTTACAGCAACTCCTTATGGTTCACCTTGTGGTTGTGTTTTTCCTATGAAAATCAGACTTCTTTTAGATGTGGCTCCTTATTCTATTTTTCCTGTATTGGGTCAGCTAGAGATTGAGGTTGCTGCAGGCACATATTTGGAGCAAAGTCAAGTGAAAATAATGGGTGCAAGTGCTGATAGTCAAAATCAGGGAAAAACTGTAGTGGATATTAATTTGGTTCCATTGGGAGAGAAATTTGATAATACCACTGCAATACTGACATATGATAGATTTTGGCATAAGAAGGTGCCTATAAATAAGACTCTTTTTGGCGATTATGAAGTGATGTCCATTACTTATCCAGGTAATTACCTCATTTGTTGCCTAAATATGTATTACTATACTTTTGTATTCCCATCTCATGGTTCTGACTCCAGAGCGTGCATCAGGGCTTCCTTCTTCACCACCGTACCCAGATTACATGGGGAGTGGTCCAAGTGGTAGCTCTGGAAATCTTCCAATTACTGCAAATTTTGTTAGCAAGAACCAGAAGATGAATCTTAGAACCATTGCCATCATTGCTTTATCTGCATTTGTTGTCTTACTGGTGTTCACTGCAACAATCTTCATTTTTATAAGATGGAGAAAGTTTGGAAGACCATCAAATGCTGTTGGTCCTGCATTTACATCATCCATAAACAAAAGATCTGGTACATCCTTTTACATTTATTGTCTTGTTCATACTTGTAGCAGGCAGGTGCCTTGCTTGTATGTTTATGTTCATCATTTCGACCTTTTTATATGTCAATCCTGTTACAACCAAATTACTTCCTGCTATATTGATTCTCTTCTTTTGCAATGAAATGTTTGAAAACGTTCTTCTTTTACTGTGGTTAATATAATTAGTTGAGATAATGTTGGATGATTGCCTTAATCCCTGCGATGCCAGTGTCAAAACTCATAATAATTTAGATTGCTCCTATATCTTTATGTGTTTGTGGTAGCTACTTTTGTCGGCCTCCAATTAAGCAAGTAAATGAGAAAATCTACTATGTCAGGATCATGAATTAATGATGTCCTCTAAATAAGTGCATTTTGGATCTTTACATGTTATGTAGGCATTGGGTCTTTCTTGTCAAGTAGCATTGCGAGCTCCGCATCAATGTCCCTCATGTCAACGATGGCTACTTGTATGCTTTCTGTTAAAACATTTCCATATGCTGTGCTTGAGAAAGCAACGGAGAAGTTCAGTTCAAAGAGGATTTTGGGTGAAGGGGGATTTGGCCGTGTTTACCATGGGACTATGGAAGATGGGAGTGAGGTTGCAGTTAAACTGCTTACAAGGGACAATCAGAATGGAGACCGTGAATTTATTGCGGAAGTTGAGATGTTGAGTCGATTGCATCACTGTAATCTCGTGAAACTGATTGGTATATGCATAGAAGGACGCATTCGATGTTTGGTTTATGAACTTGTTAGAAATGGCAGTGTCGAATCCCACTTGCATGGTATGTTTCCTCACAACACTGAAATATCAGTTGGCTGATTGGTTGATAATCAATATTATTTATTATATCTTGTATTAATTGGGTCAAGATGCTGGTGCTACCATCTTTTTATCAAATTGACTGGAAGCCCCTGAATCTCTGATTCTATTTTCCACAGAAACAAACATACTACAAACTTAATTCTCTTGTTTTACTGGTGTTTCAGGCCCTGACAAAAGAAAAGGACCTCTTGATTGGGATGCACGGTTGAAAATTGCCCTTGGAGCAGCCAGAGGATTGGCCTATCTTCATGAAGATTCTAATCCCCGTGTAATTCACCGTGATTTCAAGGCTAGTAATGTTTTACTAGAAGAGGACTTCACACCCAAGGTGTCTGATTTTGGGCTTGCAAGAGAAGCAACTGAAGGAAGTAATCATATATCTACTAGGGTCATGGGGACTTTTGGGTAAGTCATCATATATCTACTAGGGTCAAAGGGCCTGATTTATCCCCAAATTTTCATTTAAGGCAGCCCATTCTACTTAATATTTTAATGATAATTATCCATGAAAAGTCCTGTTTGACTATTTCAAATTCTAGAAGCACTAATATTCAAAAATTACCCACTGTATTTTGTCTCATTGTTCATCTTTTTATTAAGAACTGTTCAATTTTGTTTTAATATTTATTTATTTTGTTTATTTTTGTAGGTATGTTGCACCTGAATATGCAATGACAGGACATTTGCTTGTCAAAAGTGATGTTTACAGTTATGGGGTTGTGTTGCTTGAGCTTCTGTCTGGAAGAAAACCTGTAGACATGTCCCAACCTCCGGGACAGGAAAATTTAGTAACATGGGCACGCCCATTGCTAACCACTAGAGAAGGATTGGAACAGTTGTTGGATCCTTCTTTGGCAGGAACTTATGACTTTGATGACATGGCTAAGGTGGCAGCCATTGCATCTATGTGTGTTCACCCGGAGGTGACTAACAGACCATTCATGGGTGAAGTAGTTCAGGCTCTAAAACTAATATACAATGACATGGACGAGACTTGCGGGGACGTCTGTAGTCAAAAGGGATCTTCTGCTATGGATTCTGACATTAAAGGCGATCTTGCTCCTTCTGATAGTAGTTGGTGGAATGCTGGTGGTATCTCACCTCGGCTAACTTATGGGCAAGCCTCTTCATTCATTACAATGGACTACAGTTCAGGTCCACTTGAAGAAATGGAAAATAGACCATTTTCAGCTTCAAGTTTGGTCGGGGATCGGTTGTCTTTAGCTATTAGGCAGGGAAACAGATCAGGTCCTTTAAGAACAGTGCGAAGTAAACCAGCATTTTATAGATTAAGAGGAAGTATGAGTGAGCATGGGGGGCTCCTTTCGAGGCGAATTTGGAACGATGGATATTGGGTGTGAGATCTGTTTTGAAAGTGGTTTCCAAGTGTACAGTTCCAAAGGACTCGGCTTTTCTAAGCGGTCTTGATTGATGTTCGTTTACATGTTCGGGATTCTATCTGGGTTTACATGTTTGCAAAGACATATACTTCTGATTTTGGAAAAAGGAAAAAAATCTTGATTCATTGTTACACAAGGTTGGAGATGTAAGCTTAACACTCCTTTGTATTATATATCTATTTAATTGTTTCTTATGGTATGCTTTCTGCTGTTATATCAAACTTTATAGTTATCATTGGCCCACCTTACTAAGGTGGAAATTAATTTTAATTGTTGACTACTGCCTCTCACAGACTTGCAAGTAACATTTAAATCTTTCTGCACCGAGTATTTGGAAAAGGTGGTGTTTGACGTTGAATTCCCCCTTCTCTCATCCTTTGTTGATTAAATTTTCTGTTGTAAAAAAAAAATGATAGCTTTATTATGATATATGATTTATAATATGTAACAAACATTTTTAAAATTTTGTGAAACATAAATTTTACATTATTATTGTATTTTTTTTTTATTTTTTCGCATGATAATAAAGGTAATCTCTAAAAGGGATTTCTTTTATAATTAATTTCAATTGGAGAAGCTTGCTGTGGACGTTGAATATCAACGTCTAGCTTGTTTTTCTATCTTTTAAATGACGTGTGAAAATAAATAATAGATAAATAAAATTTAAAAAAAGAAAAGAAAAGAAAACATTTGAATAAAGTCATAAACTATTTATTGGAATGAATACGATATGGTCTCTCCTCATCCAATAGAATAACGACGGCCCCAATAAAGAAAACCACCATAGCCACAGCACCTATCTCCAACCATCCCTCGCAACTGACAGTTGCTTTTCATGTGCCATGGAAGCGAAGCGAAGTGAACCGCTTCAGAAAAAAAGAAAATAAAATGCTTTTCTCACACTCCACACTCCCAAATGTCTATTCGACATTCTCTCCCTCCTCTTCTTCTTCTTCTTTCCGTAAACGATCCACTTCCACTTGTCTCCTCTCATCGTCACCATCCTCACCTACGACTTCTGTGTCAGGTCCACGTGTTTTCACGTACGCTTTAGTGTTATACATGTATTTTTTATTCATATATTCGTTTTCCCCGTAAATACATTTGATTATAATTATTTCTGAGACATATTTCAGAGTCAAAATGTCATCAGATTCGCTTCCTCCTCTACCGGAGAGCCGCATCATTGTAAGTATCTCACTTCAGTTGATACTTGAGAAGCTATGGTCATTGCTTTGGAATTTTTCTTTTTTGATATTTAGTACTGAATTTTGTGTTTGCTAATGCGAGCAGCTAGGATGTGGAGGAATTTCGGTCGATTTTTTAGCTGCTGTCGCTTCTTATCCTAAACCTGACGACAAGATCAGAAGCACTAGCTTGAAGGTTTTTGTAATTCTTTCTTCATTTTCCTTGTAATTTGATAAGAAACGTGTCGTTTTCAGAGTTTTGAGTGTTTTCAGGTTCAAGGAGGTGGAAATGCTGGGAATGCAATGACTTGCGCTGCTCGCTTGGGCTTAAAACCTAGGATAATTTCTAAGGTTAATTTTAGAGCTGTTTGATACTTGATTGAATGATTATTGAGATTATTGCTTTTACTAATCTTGTGGATTGCAAAATTTGATTAGATTGCTGATGATAGTCAAGGCAGGAGTATTTTGGAGGAACTGGAGAACGATGGTGTGGATACTTCTTTCATTGTGGTGAGCTTCTACTGATATGCACTAAATATCATTTTCTTGATTATGGAGAACGAATTTGTGTTATCATACTTTCATTATTGTTATTTTAGTTCTTGAAAAGTTCCAGCTAGGGCTTAATCATAGACTTTTTTGGTGATTTCACTTTTTTATTATAAAAAGACTGCTATCTCTGTGTCAGGAGATCAAAGCCACAGTAGATGCTTAAAATATCTGCAACCTGCCTTTTGTTTTTTCTATGCTTCTTTTCTGTCTTTTGGTACATGAAATTGTCTGTTTTGACTTTTATTTTGCATACTATTAAAATGCCTTCTCTTTCATTAATAGCTTATTGTTAAATCTCTAATGGCATTTTTGTATGACCGGTAGCTCTGTGTCTCATGTCTTTATTATTTGTTGACTTGTGTTTTTCTTTTTCTTTCTAGGTTTCCAAGGATGGTAATTCACCGTTTACCTATGTTATTGTCGACGACCAAACGTGAGGACCCTTGCTTGAATAAATTGCTCTCTCTTTCTCTCCGTCGCTCTACTGTTGTTGCAGACTTTTTCTTGGTGTTAAGAATTTTTTAATTGATAGATTAGGTGAAAAAATAAAATAAAATTTTTACCTAATTATTGTCTAAGGTTTTGCACTCAAGTAAATTTCATGTTTCAATTGTTATCCTTAGGACTTAGAGGGGAAAGTGAAAAGGCAATCATTGGAATTTTACTGGCTTTTGAGGTTAAAAAGGCTTGAAGAAATCTGGATAGTGGTTGTAATTATTAATGAATATCTAAACTTATTTCTTAGTTTTGTCCACACAATAGGAGCTGAAATGTTGCTGTATATATAAAAAGGAAGGGTGAAATCCCAGAAAGAGGGATTTGAGTTGGAATTGTAGATTTATTTGATCAAAGTTATAATATTGAGGAGCAAATTAGGGGCAGTGGTCATCTTAGTATGCTTCTCCCTTTATTTTTAGATCCTTATGATGTTTGCTCAAATGTAGAGAATTGTAAATAATCTCAGAGGTGATAAAATGAACTCTAGATGTCTATCTGGTGACAATATGAAATCTTCTCCGTTATATGGCTAATTTTTTTTAGCTCAATCCATTAGAACTTGTATGATGCATTTCCATAAGTCCCAGCGATACTATTCCACTGCAGGCACCGCATTTGTGAATGTCATAGAAATGTGGTAGTTGACTTTGGAATGATTGGTTAAAGGGTTAATTTTGGAAGTTGTTTAGCATGTGGTAATTATATTATGTGATATTTTCAGGAAAACTCGTACTTGTATCCATACACCTGGGTATCCTCCCATGATACCTGATGATCTGTCTCAATCAAGCCTACTTTCTGCGCTGGATGGAGTAAGACTTGCATATTTTGATGTAAGGTTGCCTGAAACAGCCTTAGTTGTTGCAGAAGAGGTAACGGTTATCATTTACAGTTGCTTTGGTGCATTACTTTCTGTAAATTGTATTTTTAAATGCTGTCCATTCAACCATTATTCTATTAGGAGTCTGATTATAGTCGATGCAATTCTCTTATTTTGATTGGTTTGAATACTTTATCTTCAATAGCACGTAAGTATTCATTATCTTAGCTTTTCAATTTGTTTATTCTTACATTCTTAGAACTGCATTAGGTTGAGCAATTTCATTTTCTCAACATATTTATATTAATGTAATTTTGCGACTTTATATTGAAGTATGTTGGTCCTAGTCCATCTTCACATTTTTGGGTTTATGGTTAACGCCCTTATCACAATAGTTTGTTCTTAGGGCAAATACCTGTGGCAGTTTAGAAGTGAGTAATTTCCCATTCTTGCATCTGTTCCTTCTTTTTCTTCTTGTTGTCATTCTTTTTTTCTTTTTAACTTGGGGGAGAAACAAAATTTTTTTGCATCACCAGAAATCAACCACATCTCAGTTGATTTGTCCAGTGCAGGCAACTCGCAGGAATATACCTGTTTTAATTGATGCAGAAAGGAAAAGGGAAGGATTGGACGATTTTCTGAAATTAGCTAGTTATGTTGTATGCTCTGCAAAATTTCCACAGGCAAGTTGATTAGTATTTTAATGAAATAACTGCAATGATTGACTCTTTTTGACAGCTTTGAAATATTAGTGCAGACAATAAATGCTTCAAAACACCTTGTTTGCTTTGCTTAAACAATAAATTATAATAATAATATAGAAAAATAATATAAACCTATCTTGTCGTTTGTGCTGCTTTATCTTTGAGAATATATCTCAATGTGGTAATTTCTAGATCCATGTTCACAAAGATGTTGAAAGGTGGCATCAAATCTGCACTGTTTCCTCACCAGTCAAGTAATTTTGTTATTTTTATGTGCTGTAGCTAAAGTTCTTTTCACTTTTGAATGGGATTGGGGAGGAGTTTTTTGTTTGCTGAAGCTATTTATTACTCAATCTATTTGTTCTACTACTATTTGACTTAGCATGCTTGGACCAAGCGCAGATTCATTTTCACTTTTTATTAATCCTTTCATCTTTAAGCTTTTTGAGTTTTAATAGGAGTTGTGAAACTAGTAAATCCATATAACAATAGCTTGATTGATGTTTCACTGCTATAATTGACTGAGCATGCTTGTTTATTATAAGCACAAATTCATTTACTGTTTCAATTTTCACTACTTTTCATCTCTTGATCTTTGAGGTTTCCATGGGATTATGGGAAGTTCAAATTTACCTCCAGTTTACCAATTATATTTATCTGCTTGCAGCCTTGGAATGGTAGCTTCTCAGATAATCTTTAGTTAATGCATGAATTTTTGACTTGCAGGCATGGACAGAAGCACCATCAGTTCCAACTGCGCTTCTTTCTATACTTTTGAGATTGCCAAACATCAGATTTGTGATAGTGACCTTGGGTGAAGATGGATGCGTGATGCTTGAGAGAAGTACAAATGGTGAGTGGACATTCACTAATGCTAAGCAGGATCACAAATAGTCGCTTGGAAACTTGGTGCTTGAAATTGCTTCATGAACCATATTCTTATCTTTATTCTAGTAGAGGCTCCTGCATCAGAGGAATTGGATGTAGATAATTTATTCGAATCATTGAAGCAGAGAAAAGATGATACAATTTCCATACCAACATGTTTCTCTTCGGTAATTTACTCCTTAATGAATGCAAAATTGACTTTCATGTTTCCCACTTTCATTTATGGTAGCCATCTCAATTGATACTGTGCTCTGTTGAATTTTTGGCATCATAAGTAAAGGAAAGCCTACATTGACCTCACTTCTGTTGACATGTTTCTGGGCACCACCTCTGCCTGCCCCTGTTGATCCACCATGGTAATGCTAAAACGCTGTTATGCTAATGAAAATGCTCTGTCTTCTGCAAGAAAGATGGCCCTCATGCAAAACCACTTTATTGATTGAAGGACCAACATCCAAGGGGGGCAAAAAAAATCACACGTACGCTATGTGTCATTTGATAAAAGCATGATTAGATGAATGGTGGACTATCCTTTTATTGATCATTGTTGAAGATAACACTTGGTTTTATGCTTTTAGAAATCTTGACTTGCCCATTTGAGGCTTTCTGTTGTGCTAGCCTATTTGTTATTATAGATTTTAACTATAATTGTCTTTCTTCCAATTCAATCCTGTGCTGTTTGGACTGCCTGAAATGAAAGCTGAGCTGCAATATTGTAACCTTTAAGCATTTATTCAACCAAGGACAGCTACTTATAATTTTATGTTTTCCTGGCCTAGAAGCAAGTAATTTGCTTATTCAAGCAGCTGAAGAAATTATCGTTCATAGACTTGCTTAAGCTCATGCAAAGTTAACATGGTCAATACTTTTTGCATTTAATTCAAATTAATATGGTTTTGCATCTTCTCTTTCCAGCCATTGACAAAACTAGGAGCAAATGGCATAGGAACAGTGAATGGGAGAATGTTTTTAGGAACAGCTGAGAAGATACCTCCACAAGAACTTGTTGATACTACTGGTGCTGGAGACGCATTTATTGGAGCAGTTCTTTATGGTATGTGTTACCATTGCATTTGGAGGAATGTACATGTGTATTTGTGAGTGTGTGGATCTCCATACTTGTGTGCTAATGTATGCCATTGCAAATGTTTGTGCTTACTTGTGTTGTATTGATCTTGATTAGTCTGTTTTACAAATGCCCTGATTAAATGTAATAACCTGGTTAAAATGTCATATGTCATGTTAGATTCTAGATGACAAAAAAAGCATCTCTGTTACTGATAACTGATTCTGGAAGGAGACAAGAGATAGACCCCAAGTTTGTCTTTAAAGACCTAATCCGTATGGCCTTTTTAGGAAATCAAATGTCTGGATTACATGTGATATTCACAGAGTGCAATGCACGGCTAAAATGGAAAGGAAAAATTACTAAAAAGCTTGAGTATTGGAATTTGGCGAAATATATACTCATGTCTCTCCTTTATCAAAAGTCCTTTTTCTGTTGAAGTTGGTTATTTTTAGAACAACTTATAATAAAAATAGTTCAAGTGCCCAAATTCCCACCCCCATGCATTTATATAATCTGGTGTCCGGGAACTTATTTGTCATATATGTTAGAATCAATTAATTTCTTTTAAGATTTTCCTGAGAATTATGTCTAATTTCCAAGAAATAATTTTTCCCTTTCAGTGAATATATTTTCTATTATAGTTGATTAGTGCACTTGCGATTAATCTTTCCATATGGAACTCATCTTCGTTGGTTTTCTTGCAGCAATCTGTGCTGACATGCCACCAGAGAAAATGTTGCCATTTGCTGCTCAAGTGGTAAGCACATTTCTACATGGAGTCAGATAATGCTCTTCAAAAACACTCCAATCTCTATAGAAATGGACAAGATTTTTAGTACTTGTTTTAATTATTTGGAGCTGATTGCAGGCAGCTGCCAGCTGCAGAGCATTGGGAGCTCGAACTGGTCTTCCACACCGCTCAGATCCACGCTTGGAGCCATTCTTACATAAGAGTTACATGATAGCATAAATATCATCTCTGATTGAGGTTTTAAATGAGCCTCAGCTTTGTTGTGTCCGTATCTTATGCTGTATATGTTATGTAAATATATAGCTGATCAAATAAACTTCCAAAGAAGAACGCGTAACTGAAGTTATAAAACACACACAATATATGACACTCGTAGTTAATCTGCATCTATACAAGCTACTATTTATGCCCTCTCTATCGTGTTTAGCTTTACTAGATTTGCGTGTTGTACGAGTGAATTCATCGGTTAAGGTGTAGGGAAATCCTATTCTTTAGAAAATGTCCAATTTGGGGGTAAAAAAAATGGAAACACAGAATTATATATGGCAGAGGAGTGAAAATTAAAAGCTTAAAAATATCATTTTACACAAATTAACAGAAGCAATAACACCGTCGAATAGATTTTGAGATTGTTTTAGTGAAATTTACAAGTAAATTCTAAATTTATAAGGCTATACATTACATTTTTGACTAATTTTTCTATTTTATTATATAAATAAAAAAAATACGACAATTTTACTAAACATCCATTCTTTTTTTAGTATTTTTGGAGGGGATTCGAACCCTTTATAGATTAAAAAAAGAAGTAATTCTGTTAGAATTTTATAATTGTTTTTACTTGAAACAGATATTTAAATTCACATTTCATTTGTACAGTTCTCTGTATCAGAGTTAAAGTTTTGCCAGTATTAATATATATTATTACGAAAATAAAGAAAAAAACGATTTTCAAGATTTATAGGCAAATGAGCTGGTATGTGTGTTGCACGCGCAGCTCCAAACTAGTTCTCAAAAGGAAAACAATCATGTTTAGTATTTTTTTTTTTTTTAATCAGTTTAGTATTTTTTTTTTTTTTTTTTTAATCGCAATCAATTTATTTTAGTTAATAAGGCCAGAAAAAATGAAATTATCCGGCAACTAATCCAAGCCAATTAGACTTACTCAATATTTTTTTTTTTTTTTTAATCAGCAAATTCAATTTATTTTATTAATAAGCCAGAAAAAACTGAAATTATCCGGGCAACTAATCCAAGCCAATTAGACTACTCAATACACCCAGATCTAGCCAAAAAAAGTTAAGTGAAAAAATCTGGAAGAAATATAAAAGTTAAAGTGAAAAAGTTAACTAAACAATCGTGTTTAGTTAGTTAGGGAATGTTACTTGGTCATTGTATATCTAAGGTATTGGTCAAATGCAATTGGATTTAGCAACTGTAGCCCATTCAAGTGAACAACTCTAAATTAAGTAAAATGAGAAAAACTAACTTACATACTTAATTCTATTTAGGTTATAAAATTAATAATTTGATATTTAATATAATTTTTATTTTGTTAATTAGCTTTCTGACTTCATAACCCTAGAGACCAATCCAGTACTCTTTAATGATTAATATCAGAGTATTGATAATCATTGTGATTTAGCCTTAATTATAAATGCAGCTAATGTAAGTAATAGACTACTAGATAAAGGAATATCAATACAAATATCCCTAACCACATTACAAGATAACTAAGCAATAACACAAACAGAAAAAAAACCCTAAACCCTTCAACTATGTTCACCTACAAATAATACCCTACATTTCTTTCCTTCCCTAAAATCCTACAACAAGCTATCAGCTTTTGCAGGCAATCTCCTGAAGAAATTCAAAGCCTTACATGGCAGCTTGTTCCTGAACCGCGGTGGCCGGAGCATATAAAGCCCCCATAAAGCCACCACTGCCCTAGTAGGCACAGCATAGAATCCAACTGCAGCAAACAAACACATAACCACAAACAAGAAACTAGCTCTTGGATCTCTCCAACTTAACAGTGCTTGAAATCTTTCACCTTGTGTGGCCATATCACCTACTACAGTCTGAATCCTCCCTGCCACACTCCTTAGCCTATCATACCTCATTCTTACTAGCTCAGCACTTCGACTCGTCGGAAATGAATCAAATTCCTCATCAAGTTCATCAGCATAAACACTCTCAGCATGAGAGAGTCTCGTATCCATATGGGGTGGGTGGCGTGGGCGTGATCGATATCTCCACATTCCTACAAATGCCATATAAAGCAATATTGCAGGGATGATAAGCTCGGGCATTGCAACCATGAAGAGAAACAGCAATAGAAACAAAGTTGAATACACCGGTTTATGCCAATTGCTAATTGACTCGATCCATCTGCCTATAGCAACAACACCAGAGAGCACATTAATAAGTCTAGCAAAATTAGCTTTGCTTCTTCTCATGCTCCACATATGAGAATCATGATCAAGCATGTACTCCACCACTTCTCGCCCTAGTGGTGGCTCTGCCCGGCTAAGCCTTGATGCAACCACATTCATTGCCTGATATCTTAAGGCCTCCAATTGATTCACACTCAATGGTTGCACATAATGCATTTTCGGTAACAAAGGCAGTGTGTACATTTGCAACATATTAGCCATATTAGCACAGGAAAACCTTACTGCTAAATGAAGCTCACCTGTTTTCTTGACTCCAGTAGGGTGTAGCATAAGAAGAGGATAAGAGTGGGTATAAACTCTGTCTGTTTCAAGAGTTGATAACCGAATTCTAACTTTCCCAATTCTTGAATCACGGGCATTGTTCATGCCATTTTTATCGACTCGAGAATTATCAAACACTCCAATAGTGATAACGGTGGAAGGATCAAACACTTCCCAAGTGTATTGTTCATTCCATTTTGGTGATAGGCTTTCTACTACCGTGCGAGTTCTCACCCATTTCGAACCATACTTGGCTACACAATAAGCATCTGCAGATTCTCTTTTCCCTTCTTTGAGTTTTGTGGGCAAAAGTCCCGATGCACCCAAAATGCCCATTTCAAGTACACCAATATGAGGCTTCCATAACTGTTTTGCAGTTGGTCTAACATCACTGCTATACATGGTGGCTTCATCAAGAACATGGTAACCCCCATCAAGGGACATTCTAAGGTGAATTCTAGACCCAAATCTTGTTACAATTTTTGACTCAATTGCATTACCAAGTTGATTATCAATATTAAACCACCTCGAAACCACTTGTTTCTCATCATTTCGCCTTTCAATTGCAGTCATTGGAAGCAAAATTCTTCCCACAGTCTCCTCTCTTCCTGGTCCAATCCGGTCCTCAACAGAAATCACCAAATATTCCTCAAATGGCTCTGCAACCACAAACAACAAATCTTCATTCCAATAAGGACTGGAAAAGCTCCTATTGGGGTTAGGCCCTGCAATCTTAGTCCTCAAAACTTGGTTCCCTACAATAACTTTAGTGAACAGCTCTGGAAATTTCATCATCGCAGACGCTTTATCCCCAGGAACAATATCTTGTGCTTCAATAACAGAGAGCCTCAAATACCATAACTTAGGTGATAAATAGACTTTAGATTTTATAGAACAAAGCCCATCAAAATGCACATTTGCTGCCTTTGAATGCCAAGCCTCTGCAAAAGCTTCATCAGCTTGAGTACCGAACCAAATTGAAACCATCACTTCACCACTTTTAGCTTTATCTCCTTTTTTATCTTCCATTCTATACCATTGTGGTGCTAATGGACTATCTGGAGGCACTCTTCTTGGAACTTCATTCAAATCAAACCAAACACGCCCCAAGAAATCATCTTTATTGCCTTCTTTAACAAAAATCTCCACCATTGATGACTGTATGCATTCTTTAGAAAACGCAAAAACTTGGTCCCAGTCCATGTTGCTTAAACCTACTCTTTTTGTAATCCCTCTATAATTCCCTAACTTCACTTCAGCTACCATTTCACCACCACCAGCAAACAAGTTGACATCTTTGGCCTTTACAACTCTAATATAAAGATACTGCATTTGCTCAACAAGATCATACGTCGCACTAGACTTATCTTTGTTTAAGGGCCCACCCCCAAGATGTGGTCTTGTCTCTTTAAGAGAAAACTCACTAGACCCATTTCCATAAAAACCCACCACCCCGCCTCCGCCGCCGCCGCCGCCGCCAACACTATGACTACCTCCGGCACCAACGGAGGCAGAAACAGCAGGACCAGGACCAGTAGTGATAACGACAGGTTTTATCTCACCGGGGTTTGGCTCTACTGGCTTTAAAGTGTTTTGGGTTTGTTGTTGTGTTTGCTTCTTGTTGTTGTTAGTCTCTTGTGTTAGCCACTGCTGTTGCTGTACTATGACTTGACTCTGCTGCTGCTGCTGCTGCTGCAACTTCTTGTTCTTCTTTGACTTAGAACCAGAAACAACAGCTCCATCACCAAAACTCATTACTTGTTTAACCTCTTCTTTACCAGAAACATAAAGTTTCAAACTTATCTCTCCTTTGATATGAGAAAAAAGACTTCTTTTATCAAGAGTATGCAACTGCACCATTTCTTCACCCTCTTTAGCAATACTTGAACCAGAGATTCTAACTTTACCCAGAAAGTTTCTACTATTACTCGATCTTTTTTCATTAAATACATTAACATCAATTGTTCTATAAGGAAGATCCGCAACTTCATTTATGTTAAACACAAGCTTCTCGTTCCAAATAGGGTTCAAGTCTTTATACTTGACCTGAGTTCTTAATCTTTGATTCTCAAACTCGACTTCTACAAATGGTGAAGAAGACCCTTCACCATCTTTAGGCATTAAGTTATGCGCGGCCACCACCTCCACCACCAGCTTCTCTTTTCCAGCCATGTTATCCATTGCCTTCAAGAGAGAGAAAGAGTAAATGAAAACAGGAAAAAGAAATGAAGGGGAGAGAGAGAGAGAGAGAGACTGTGACAAATTGCTTGGCTCAAGGGAATTGACCAGTGAAGCAGAAGGGCGTGCACTAAAGAAGCAGAGTTTTGTTTCGTGCAAGGCAGTTTTCGAGGGAGAAAAAAGAAAAAGAAAAGGAAAAGAAAATCTGATATCGTAGTGTACTGTTGAGTGCAGAGCGTGCAATGTAATGTAGCCAAAGACGGGTTTGTACAGAGTGGATATAGTGGGACCTACACGAACATTCTTAACGTTAACCTGCCTTGTTTAGTCCACCCACCCCCGTCTTTTTCTTTTTCCTTCTGTATTTATCGAGGGAGTCAACGGGTTACTGGTTTTCCGGGTCGGATGTCAAACATCCGAATCTATACCAATAAGTTTATTTTACAATTAAATATTAGATTATTTTACTATAAATTTTATTTATTAATTCATCCTTATTTTAAAATTATATGGAGAGAAGTCAAGTATTGATTATCTTAACACAATTTTATTTCTAATTTATAAGGTACAAACACAAGTAATTATAAAAATGAATGTCAAGTAAGCTGTTTGAATTAAAAATATGATAATCTAATAAAATTAAAATTAACTCAGCTAATTTTATTTATTTTACACTAAAAATATTCAGATTAAACTTTTTTAACATTTGAAGTTTAAAATCCGTAAAAAAATTATTTCTTCCAATATAATAAATTCTCATAAAATACATATAATATAACTTTAATATGTTCAATACGAGAATGCATATATTTTAAATGCAACAAATCAGTTATAAAGGTGAATTTTAAAATGTTCAAATTAACACATTTTTATAAAATTAAAATCATCCATCAAAATAAAAAAAAGAATATAATATATTTCATTTTTTTTTTCATTCTCTATTTAATTATTTTTTTAAAAATAAATCGTACAATCTTACCCAACTATAAATTTAATAAATATTTATATAAAAATTTTAATATTATAAGTATCGTAAAGAATGATAGTCTAAGAGCGTGGCAGAAGAATCCTGACGGAGAAACACAATTCGATATTTTAACAAGCGAAACAACCAAAAGAACAACTCCACTGTTCATAGTCTCGAACTCCCAGGTTTTTTTATGCCAAAAAAAAAAAAAAAAAAAGTTTTGGGTTTTGGGTTTTGGGTTTTGGGTTCCTCTCCGTTGGTTTCTTTCAGAATGTTTTGTTTTGTCCCTTCGCAGCTTCTTAGGCGCGTGTGACGCGGTCCCGTGTAATAGTGCACCTTTTCAAGCGCCCCCCATGCATGCACAAAAGTTGTCTCATATGCTTCAATGGATTTAAGCGTGTTTAAATAAATGAGTTGGATAAGGTTTTCTAATCTTTAGACAGATTTCATAAATTTACTATTTCGTAATAATCATAGTGTACTTTAAAATTTGTAAATGATTTATTGTGCATTTAAACCTATAAATTTTTAATAATAGTACATATATTTTTTTATTAGCAATAATAATTTTTAAGGTTTGACGTAAAATATTGATTATATATCGACTTAGTAATTGATCTAAGTTCGAATTCCGTTTTTCTAAATACTTAAATATATATAATAATCGTACAATCTTACCCACTATAAATTTATAAATATTTATATAAAAATGTTTAATATTATAAGTATCGTTAAAGAATGATGTCTAAGAGCGTGGCAGAAGGAATCCTGACGGAAGAAACACAATTCGATATTTTAACAAGCGAAACAACCAAAAGAACAACTCCATGTTCATAGTCTCGATACTCCCAGGTTTTTTTTTATGCCAAAAAAAAAAAAAAAAAAGTTTTGGGGTTTTTGGCGTTTTGGGTTTTGGTTCCTCTCCGTGAGTTTTCTTTCAGGAATGTTTTGTTTTGTCCCTTTCGCAGCTTCTTAGGCGCGTGTGACGCGGTCCCGTGAATAGTGCACCTTTTCAAGGCGCCCCCATGCATGCACAAAAGTTGTCTCATACTGCTTCAATGGATTTAAGCGTGTTTTAAAGTAATGAGTGGATAAGGCTTTTCTAATCTTTAGACCAAGATTTCATAAATACTATTTCGTTAATAATCATAGTGTACTTCTTAAAAAAATTTGTAAATGATTTATGTGCATTTAAAACCTATAAATTTTTATAATAGTACCATATATTTTTATTTCAGCCATAATAATTTTTTAAGGTTTTGAACGTAAAAATATTGATTATATATCGACTTAGTAATGATCTAAGTTCGAATTCCGGTTTTTCTAAATACTTAAATATATATTATATATATATATATTATATATATATATATATTATATATATATTGATTGTATATAGTACATCTTGACTTCATTTAAAAATTCATGACATATAATTTTTAGTTTAACTCATTAAAATACGTTTCAATTTTATTGACTCATTAAAAATTCATGACATATAATTTTTAGTTTAACTCATTAAATACTTCAATTTTATAAAATTATATCTATTAAATATTTCAATTTAAATATTATTTTATTAAATGCTCGAATTTATAAAATTAAATCTACTAAAACATTTATTAAATAGGTGAAAAGATATAAAAGTTATTACTCTAAATATTATACGAACCGCAAATCAAGTGAATACTCACCACATAAATGTAAAATACCAAAGGGCTATTATTAGTAATACAAAGAGGAGTATACGGTTTCGATAATTTATAACTTCAAAAGTATAATATATCCCTTTCAAAATTTAAGATACCAATTTTTTTTTCACAAAGTACATACATAAATTTTTACATTTGATGTCTGTCATATATTTTTCTTAGGGTGAATACATAAATCTTAACTTTTACTTTGATCCATTAAACACTTCAACTTATAAAATTACATTTATTAAACACTTCAATTTTCAAACTTATTTTATTCAACACTTTAACTTACAAAATTAGATCAATTAAACACTTCCTAAAAAATTGAAATTTATGAAATTTATTATTCTAAAAGTCATGTTAGCTACATATCAAGTCTATATTTTACAGATAAAAGCTCAAAATTCCAAAAATTATTAATATTAGTGTCGAAAGATGTTTAATATTATCAAAATTTATAACTTCAAATATATAATAGGTGATTCGCGAAATTTAAAATGCTATAAAATTAAAGTTATAAAATTTAGAATTGAATTTATGTATTTACTCATTTTTCTTAGAATAGGTAGAAGGGTCAAAGCTAATTTTAGTTGATGTATGAATTATTTCCTTATGATGGTCCCACATCCACTGATCCTTTTGACTTATTTTTTAACCATTATTTTGACACGCGTGGTGGGGACCAACTATTTTAGTTTTATTAGTTTTTACAACTAGAAGTTTCAGTTTATTTTGTTTCCAATTTCCTAAATATAATTCATCTCATTTGACAATGGATTTCTTTCTATTTGACAACCATATTAAGCACACTCCCACCTATAAGAATCACCAAAAAACAAACATATTCAAATTGAATCGATGACCTTAAGAGTTTGCTCGATAGAATTAATTATTTTAGTGATGTTTAGTTGTTCGCTATTTGAATAGTTTTTCATAAAATATTAAAAATTAAATATTATAGTGCTTAAACTTTTATAAAATGTTATCTTAACCTTTAAAAATTAATTCAATAACTATATTATTGAATACTATTAAAAAATACTATTTAGCATTTTGACAAGCTATTTAAAAAATTATTATCGAATACAGACTAAAACTTTATTAGTAATTTGCATAGTTTTAAATCAATATTAATTTTAAATATAAATATATCTTGTCATTAAACAAAAAATCATCGTTTGTTTATCGTTTTATACAGTTGTTTCAAATTTTAATTTTCAATTTCTTGTGATTGCTATCATAATTTAGTTATTATTTGTTCCAAGCTCCTTTCTCCATCTGTGGGGGATGATTGTTAAACATGTTTATTATTATGAAAAATCGATTAGCTTGTTAGCTTGTGGTGACTCAACTCAAAGAAAAACCTATTAAAGGTCTTAAAAACAACCTATGCTCTAAAAATATTAGCACCGGTTTCAGTTACATCAACAAAATGAAAATAAAAATTATCTCTCTTGTAAATATTTATATTTTTAAATTTTTCATGTTAAAATTAATAACAAGTATTGATGAAGGAAGAGAATGTATCTTTCCATGGACATTGGAGAGTCTTAAAGAGAAATCAGACAGGCAACTGATTCACTGTCTCCTTCCTCCTGTAGTATGTACAGGAATACAATAAAATGTATCTGAAAAATAATAGATAATGTTACAATACAATAATTGTACTGTATTCTGTCTCTACTGTCCAACAAAAAACAAAAAGCAAGCGTAGATGTCTCTCTTTGGCCTATCAAACACCCACTTTCTTAAATCTATTCTCTTGTCCTATCTTTCTAGCTTCAGCCTTTATGCATCGCAGGGCATGCCTGTGGACAGTGGATTCTAAATTAACCTTCTTCATTTTATTGACAAATTAAATTAAAAACACTTTCAATATATAATTAGACAATCTTAGGAATTTGCTTGGAATGATAACTTTTTTTTTTTTTTAAATTATCAAAAAATTATGTCTTATTATATATGTGTTTGCATTTTTGCTATTTAACATCTTAAAAGTCAAATACATAAAGGCTAAATTTATAAAAATACTCTAAATTTTGCGACTTATTGTAAAAAATACCCTAATTTGACATTTTTACCTCAAAATCACACTTTACAAACTTAGATATATTATTACCTTATTTTCAAATTGGAGTTAGGGTTTAAATAAAATAATATAAATGTAGGACCCACTATATAACCTTGATTAATCTAACCCAAGGCTTGAAACATCCCATTTTGACTAACCAAATTTGCACATCTCTCCCAAACTTTTATCTTCGTCCTTCGATCCCCACTGTAACACTATTGTTCTTCCTTTGATTTCTCTCTCCATTGTAGCTTCTTCCTTTAATGCATTAAATAACTATACTCGATTGTTTCCTCTGCATCTACACATATAAGTACTCTCAATTCCAAAGTCCCCCCTTTTTTCCAATCATCACTTTCCAATCCAGTTTTTGCTCAAATCAGTCAGACAATAAATAAAATGTCATTGTTATAGAAGCAAATGTAGAGGCGATAGTAACTTTGCGATCTTTTTATATATTCTTTTATACAATACAAGCAGCCAA